TTCTCCTTCTTCTTCTCGGCTTTTGCGGCGGCCTTGTTAGCCACATTCGGCTCGATCTTTCCGGATCCGTTCTCCTTGTCCTTCTTCGGCTTGGCCCTTGAGGCCTTCTCGGGCTCATCCGGCTCGGTCTCCTCGACACCATGCTTTCTGCGGCTCTTGCCCCGGACCTCGGACACCTTCTCCGGCACTGTTTCCGGAGCTTTGCCACGGCCTCTGCCGCGTCCACCACCACGGCCTCGCTTACCACACCCTCTGGAATTGCCCGTCTCCACAACAGCATCCGTGGGCATGTCAGCATCAGGCTCAGGGCCGTTCTTGCGGCCACGGCCACGGCCGCCCCTTCCACGGCCGCGCTTTCCACGACCGCCCCCTGCATTCTGTTGCGTGGGGCCGACGACACTGAAATCTTTGACGCATGCAGGCTTCGGCAGGGGTGGCTGAACCGAGCCGCTGGACTCGGGAACTGGCTCCCCTGTGCCATCCAAAGCCTGAACGGGCTTCTCATCATCGGCCTCCCCCGCGCAAGCCCAAGCCTGAACGGGCTTCTCACCATCGGCCTCGCCTGAACCGTCCAAAGCCTGAACGGGCTTCTCACCAATGGCCTCGCCTGAACCATCCAAAGCCTGAACGGGCTTCTCACCATTGGCCTCGCCTGAACCATCCAAAGCCTGAGCGAGCTTCTCATCATGGGCCTCGCCTGAACCGTCCAAAGCCTGAACGGGCTTTTCACCATTGGCCTCGCATGAACCATCCAAAGCCTGAGCGAGCTTCTCATCATGGGCCTCGCCTGAACCGTCCGAAGCCTGAACGGGCTTCTCATCATCGGCCTCGCATGAAACATCCAAAGCCTGAACGGGCTTGTCATCATCTCGCTTCACAGGATCAAGGGGCTCAAGCTCCTCAGCACCTGTGACCTCCGGCCAAGCCATGTTCTCTGGATCGAAGAAAATTGTGCGGTTGTCGTCCTCATCCATCCACTTGGATGTCTTATCTGGCTCCCGAGGAAGCTCCGCTTCATCCTCTTTCCTCTGGCCCAAAACCAAGGTTGTACCACGAAGCTCAGCCGACAGCTCTGGCTCTGGCTGAGACTCCTTCTGCATCTCCTGTTCCTTTTCACGATGGTGGACTTCGATCCGTGCTGCATGCAACACCTCCTCAGCCACACCGGTCTCCATGGGATACGTGTCAACCCGGTCCATCTCCGCACCTGGGCCGATGTTCGTAGATTGTCGTAGATTGCTTGTCGAAGCACGACAACTAAGGTGCTTGTCCGAAACTACGAACTGACAACACCATGCTCAACTAAGCAAGCAACCTTGCTGGGCAACCTGCCCCTGGGCTGCCTCCAATGCTCTTTTCGCAGCTAACTCCCCTTTGGCCTTCAGAAGCATCTCAATGTTTGCACACTCAACCTCGAGAGCCTGCAAGAGAGTTCGCTTCCTGCTCGCTGGAAGAGGAAGCTTCTCGGTTGACGGCGGAGAAGAGTTTGCTCGGGCCGGTGGGGGGGTGGCGATGGTCGAAGCAGCCGTGGTAATAGAATCACCTCGTTGCATGTTGCATCAACCCATAACATGCATGAAGCTACACATGCATCATCCCTCGCCCTCGCGAAATGCAACGAAGACACTCGTGCCATTGCGCTGAAGTGCTGTGGCTGGGTTCTGCTCCGGGGCAACAACTGGCAAATCGCCACCCTGGGCTGGCAACTTACACTCGGGCATTGCAGGCTTACCGGCAGCAGTAGCGGGCACGGGAGCAGCTTGTCCTGACAAAGGCGCCAACGTCTCGCCTGCACCGGGGCCCACCCGTCCCTCATCGGGCATTGCAGGATTAGCTGCATCAGTAGCGGGCACGGGAGCAGCTGGTGCTGACGGAGGCACCCACGTCTCACCTGCACCTGTGTCCACCCCTCCCTCAGCAGGCAGTTCTTCATCGACAGCTTCGTCTTCAGTTGCCCACTCTTCTTCACCTTCTTCATTCATCGCTTCATCACCAAGCTCCTGAAGCCCACCACTCTTGGACCGTAACATCTATAGTTATAGGATTTATAAAGTAAGGGTAAGGGTTTCAGGATTTTTATCGGGTCTTTCTACATTATGCCAGCCTCACAGCATAACAACGAAAGCAGCACGATGAACCCAGAACCTGCCCGGGTGTACGTGCGTAATTCCCCGTTTCCCCAGGCTGCCTCAGCTTCTTCGATGGAGTCGCGAGGACTGCGACCTGGGAAATCAGGTGATTTGGGTAGTAACCTGCATGAGTTTAGGGGTTTATGTAGGGTTAGGGCTTAAGCTAGGGTTTAGGGTTGATCTGTTCCGGGAAGTCTGGAGCCTGGCCTTCCGGCACGGGGATGCCCACTAGCTCGTAAAGCCGAATGATGTTTGCTTCTCGCGGCCTGCGCGGTTTCTTCACTATCCTCGGTTGACTCCATGCAAGGGAACCGATTACTTTACATCGATCATTTAAAATATAAGACTAGGAGAAAAGCTTCCCAAGTGCCACGTGGTAGTATCGCACAAAACATCGTGATGAGGTTCCGCACTTTCCAAGCCGCATTCTCACAGAAGTCTCCTTAGCCAGTACACTCGCAAAGTGCCTTGCAGTGACACTGCACTCACACAAGAAGCACACTCATGCGTGACGTTTCACCCAGCTAGCAGCTAAGTGGCGTGAAGCCGGCTTGCACCCTCTGACACGAGTCAGGTGGAAAAAGTCTTCCACAGAATCGGTTAGGGGTTCGACACTCGGTCTCACTCCCACCCACAGTATGGCATGACCGACCACATTCCAATTGAAGTCCAAGTCGGCCCTCTGAAGGTTCACTGGTCCCACAATCAGCCGTCCGGATGCCCCGCGCTGGGCCAATCCAGGCAGCTTACCCCAAACTTCCGCAAGGGTTGTCATTGCCAACGAGCAAAGCTATAATATCACAGCGGAATCGTTCACACCATGTGCACACACCACATGCATACATGACTGCGTGCACTGTCATGCGGGTTTGCCTGCACTATGTACCGAAAACACTGGAAGCCAAAGCCTCGAGGTGCTCAACATTTGCTTGATCGAAGCACAAATCGATTAAGAAAGCCCCCTGATGCAAGCACCAATGGAGCCAGTGAGACCTTTCCAAAAGCACGCCGTCCCGGACAGGACCATTGGCTTCAGCACTGTCGATGCCGGCACTGACGACTATGCCATCGTTATGCATACATGTATATCGTACGTCCGCATGCATGGAACATGTATGTCTATGTGGGCATATGTATAGATATATACACACATATTTCTTTACATACATACATATATACAATATATACATACATATATGTATGTGTGTGTATGAGTACACCTACCATGCATGTCACATATACATACATACGAGCTAATTGTAAGCCCCTGAAAGCTCCAATCCGGAGCCAATTTCCTAACAATGCTGGCTCTATAAGGTTCAACCCTGCAACCTCAACTCGATATGGCATAGAGTCTATATGGTCCATATCTCGATAGAGAATATGTACACTAACATGAAGTATGGTGAGCCGAGCAAAGTTTGGGTCAGAGTATGCTAGGCCCGGGGTGTAGGATTAATTAGGGAGGTCGAGGATATAGTCACACAAGCCCCCAGGGCTGAAGGATCAACGGCTCGCACAGCGGATGATACCTGTCAATACGGCTTTGATTGGTTGTTATACTGGGAACAGGGAAAAGGTTCGGGCCTATAGGCACTACACCGTGTTGAAACATAGGCCAGCGGCTACGATGCACTAGAATGGGATCTAGACAAGCTAATGGTGACGAAGCACTTCCGTGAGGGTTTCAGGGCTTTTCCTGGGCATATCTAGGGTTTCGGGGTTGTTTAGCCATAACATGCATATGAGATTTGAAAAAGTATGCGTTTTCTTAATTTACGATAGTCATGGATTTCTTTACAAGAAACATGCCTTACGAAAGCAATTGTGCACATTCGCATGGGCATGGAAATTTCCATGCAGTTAGGCGTTCTAGGTATTCCTTATTGTGGGTAATGCAGGATTTATATCATCAACCGTACCACCTCCGCGCGGCCACCACTCTGGAACTCTTCCTTGTAGTTCAGCCTGGGGCGTTCAATTTCGCCTGAACCCTAAACCCTGGGTTCTTGTTAAGGGATTGAGTTTAAGTTACAATAATAGGAAAACTACATTGTATACCATATAGGTCCTGGTTACTCGAGCCATGACCCCCTCATACCTAAGCCCCCAGACCCACATCTTCCCGGAACCCAAATAGGCCTTCCGTCTTGAGGCCGCATGATACACAGGAGTCATGACATGGAGGCCTGAAAAGGTAGGCTATTTGGGGTCCATCTTCGTTTTGCTTGCACCTTTACGCGGAGCAAGGGTTCTGACCTCCGATCCCAGAAGCTTAGGTATCTATGCAGTGCATGGTGCAAATAAGGTAACTATACTTCCCACTACTTGAAGCCCTATTTAGGCGGCCGATAAGCTTCTTAGCTAAGCCCTATGATCCTCCAAGCAAGGCTTTGCATACCGTTATCTGTTAAGGGAACATCTTCAAGCCCTAACGGGAGGGACATGCTTGGGCTTTGTACTGGGTTCTCGTTAAGGAATATCTTGTAAGTTGCCAAAAAGTAGGAAAACTGCTATCTAGATGCTATAGATCCCATATGGTAACTTAGACTTAAGTTCCTTAACAAGAACCCTGTACATCTCAAGTGGATGGAGATGCTTGGGCTTCGTGGGGTAACTGCAGGTCCGGAATCGTGTGCCGGACACCAGCGGTGGCCGCTATGAGGAGCTGTGGCAACAGGCACGCAGCTGCTACCGCTATGCACAAAAAACCGGCTGCTTATTCTCGATACTTTTTCTGGTACAGTATAGCTTTTGCTGAAGGTTCCTTCCGCATCTTCTTCTTCCCTATCTTCTCCATTTTTCCATTGCTACTGCTGCTGCTGCTGGTGCTGCTGCTGCTGCTGTTGCTACGACGACGACGACCACTACTACAGACTACCACTGCACTGACTACGGCTACGAGCACCGCTTCCGTGAGCACCACTTGCACTACGACGAGGTCTACTTAGGCTTTTTGGACTGTTGGAACACATTCGTGTTTTTGGCGGCCCTTTGTTTCTGCATGTTAGACGGCAGTGTTGATAAGGGTTAAGAGTACTTGGCAAGGGCTGCCGCGACGATTAGGCTTTTCGCTTCTGACCTTCAGACTTGCAAGAGGTTGTTATGAAGCCATATTTTACAGGATGGAGATGAAACGATCCCACCGCCTCCTCCCCCAGACAAACCATCTAACCAATAGTATTCCTTCGGTTCTTTGTTGTAATATTCGTCGAATACAGCCCAAAACCCTAGTGTTCCTTGTAGTAATTATCGTAGAATATATCCCTCTACTTATTAAGACCCTTCCTAACCAGTGATTTTGGGGGTTCCCTTGGCTCTTTAGCTCCTTATCTAGTAGGGATTATCATCATCCCTGGCCCCCAATATCGATGGTTAGTTAGTAGTCCTGGTTTCGAGCTCCGGGCTTCGGGTACCTCAGGAATGTCAGGTATGGTTTAGAAGCTGCCCCCCACCCTGCAATGGTGACTTTAAGGATTATATTAGGGCCCTATTATATTCCTATTATATCAATGCCCAAAGGGTCCTAGGTACTGTCATGGGGGATACTTCCCCAAATCAGAATAGTAATTCCCAATATAGAAACCCTACATTCTACTATACAGGTACTTTGGACCCTTTGGGATGGTTAGCTTCAGCCCAAAGCCGGGAAATCTGCAACCCGGAACCCCCCAAACCCTAAACCCCAAACCCTAAACCCTATACTCTAAACCCTAAACCCTGAACCCTAAATCCTAAACCCTAAACCCTAAATCCTATACCCTAAACCCTAAACCCTAAATCCTAAATCCTAAACCCGGAACCCAGTGCCAGGCCTGGCGACTGTGCATCGGACTTTACATGGAAGGCCAACGGTAGGGGCCCCCCAAACCGTGGGGCTCCAAGTATACAAATAGACCTACTTTGGGGCTTAAAGTCTATAAATAGTACCTACTTTGGGCTATTTGGAGCCCCAGGGAAAGGACACATGGGTGGTGGTCAAAATTAGGGCCCTTCTGATATGGTTCTGGGAATCCCGAAGCCCATTTTGGTGCCTATAAAGGGCTTTACTATATGGATGGTTGTCAAAATTAGGGTCCCGTTTTGGGTCCTTATTATACACAGCACCTAATATTTAGGGTATCCCAAAAGGGACCCTTTTGACAGCCACCCACATGCGCATAAACATTTTTGAGGGATATCCCTGCCTTATTGGGCTTCATTGTAAGGGGGGATATACATGAGATATCACTATCCCATGTTTCGCTTCTTTCCTTGAACTTGGGGTCCTAACCATTTGCAGCGGCCCTAATCCCAAAGCCTTAAGCCTAAGTTCAGGGGCCGATCTGCGTTTTGGGGTTTCTGAATTTTATAGTAGACGCCCAACAGTTGGAAACCCAATGGCCTCAATCCTTGCGAGTCATGTATAGGGAATCCCAGCACTGATTGTCCTTAATCCGGCTTTGGGGTTTGCTATGGAATCCTAATTATTTGAGGAATTTATTTTGTTTTTTTTGGGGAATTTTTTTTGTTTTTCGTCGCTTTTGCTTATTCGGCTTTTGGGCGTTGGCCTGTTGTTTTCTGCCTTCGCTTTTTACTGGTTTTGCTTTTTGCTTTTGCTTTCTGCTTCTCGGCTTTTTGGCTTTCCTTGCTGGTTTGTTGTCGTCTTTTGGCTTCTTGGTTTATGGGATTTCCTTCCTGGTTTGCTGTCTTGTTGGCCTTCTTTGCGTCAACACTAATTGGCTTCCTGGCTTCTCGACCTGGCCTGGCCTCCTGACTTCTTCACAAGAAGGCAAGGACACAAGGAAGGAAGGAAGGAAGGAAGGAAAGGAAGCAAGGAAAAAGGATCGAAGGAAGAAAAGAAAGAAACAAAGCAAGAAGGGAGGAAAGGAAGGAATGAAGGAAGCAAGGACGAAAAGAAAGAAGGAAGAAAGGAGGGTCGGTAGTATGTCAGTATATAAATTAAATATAGAGTATATATATATATATATATATATGGTCACCCCCCCCCAAGATCTACATCCGCCTCTTCCACACAATTCCACAGGTTGCTTCTCTACATTGGTCGACTACTCATATATGCCGAAAACACCGTAAATTCCGATACAATTGTGCTTTACTCCATGTGCATGCAAACAGTACTGCTACAAGTCGCGGGTTTGATATGTGTAAAAGTCTGGCGCCGAATCTCGGCAGCAGATTTATGGTAGTTTATATGTTGGAGAAGCTGAAATGCTGGAGGGCGTGCTATTTTTGTTCAGGTAGTACTAAAAAACCTCGTGTTTTTTTGCGTTTTATGGTGTGTTATTTAACGACATTCCTCTAATAATAAAAATACTATTGTCTTTCTTACGAGAACGTCTGTGTGCGTGGGCCATCTCTTTCCCGCTGCTCGTGAGCGTCCGATTCTGATGCGGCCTCATAGCTCTAGCATTTGATTTATGAGTTACGAAACACAAAGAGCTCCTTTCATGTCCTGTCCGTTATACACGGAGGAAGTCGAATATACGGGCGCATTTTTTTTTGAAGCAGTACTCCAATAGTTGTTCTTTGCCTCATAAAAAATGGGAAAGCCCCCCTGGAGTTGGAAAGTTCATGTGCATATGCGGGCGCACAAGAAGGCTCGTCTGCAGCAATAAGTAAGAGAGCTCTTGCAACCTTCCAAACATGGAGCAGGACTAATTACGACTGGCTGCATTGATACGTATCAATCACAAGGCAGGGGCTCCTTAACCTTGTAAAACAAAGTAAAATGGCACTTCATGGAGGGCCATGCGTTTTCATTCGGTTAACTCTTATTAATGATGCTGTCCTATACCCCGCAGAAGATGCCGATCGCTATGTCCATGGCTGTTTCTCTAATTGCTGTCATAGAACGTAGCGGAAAAAGTAGCTCTCTTCAATCTTCAAGCGACACTCCCCAGATGTGATCAAGAAACAAAGAGAAGCTTGCTTACTGGTATCTTTTATTAAACGGGCAAGAGGCATAAGACTTGTATCGGTTTCTACACCTCCCTCACATCCTGACAAAGCGATACCGGTCCTTCTGTATGTGACTGTGGTTTAAACGCTGTCATAGTTCGTATCACAACATGAAAAAGAGCTCTCTTCAGTCTTCAAAGACTACAGGTGACATCGTAGAATTCTCTTCTGGGTTAGCAGGAATCTTCATGTCTCTTGCTTGATAGGTATGAGGATGTCTCATAGGAAACCGAATAGGAAGTCTCCATTGTTTCTGATGATAGCAAGATGCAAACAGTTTCCCACAGTCTTCAACATGAAATGAATTAAGTTCTAGATAGGCTTGCGCTGCTACAGTGATGGATCTGTAGGCGGTGCAGCTTGCCGAAGAATGGCCAAAACCATTTTCGAGAAAGCTCAGGTACTGGAGCCAGTGCTGCTGGTGCCATAGATCTACCAACCAACGAAAACATATATGAAATAAACTCTGCAACGACTAGGCCTTTTTCATACTTACCTAACAAGAGCAATGAAAACCGTTGTTGTTCCAGAAGACACATAAATCATTACTTCCAGTCCTTGACAACGGTTGAAAGCACACAATTATCTTGTGATGCAATATATCCTGTCCTGGATATCAGAAAACACTGTGATGCTCAAAAAACTTCCAAAATTTCCAGCCCTGAAACTCACGAAACACTGTACTGCTCAAAAAAATCCCAAAATTCTGGCATCTATGGCCAGGCCGGGGGCAGAGTCCTTAAAAGTTTGGAATTTTTCGAGCATAGCAGTGTTTCGTGCGTTGCAAGGGTTGGAAAAGTTGATTTTTTTGAGCATTACATGTTTTGTGCGGTTGAACCGCACCTCGTCCGGGTGGATTTCCATGGCTTCGTGTGCGGCAAGATTTCAATAGGCTTGGAGTCACACTTGATTGTGCACAGGTGCGCACTTATCACATATCACATGTCCCTCTTCACTAGACCCTCTCATAAACACTCACTGGCTCAAGATTTCGGCTGTGGGAGAACGAGACGGACCAGGCGGTTTGGGTTTTAGGACCAGCATCACCAGGTTTGGGGGCGGACAAGACACGCGCATCATGAGCATCAGCGGTGCTGCTTGGCAGCGCAATAACTGGAGCCGCTACCCCATGACCTCGTTGTTGAGTGGTGCATTAAGCAAATTCATTTCTTTTTGACCATGATCAATCTCAAAGACCATTTCTAACCAGGCGGATGCACATATACATATCTGTCGAAAACACGCTATTCCTTGTGCGCGCCGGCTCACCTTGCAGGTATCTGACTGGAATTTCAAGTACTTGACCGGAGTAGAGGAGTATAGATGCATACACATATGCATATATACATATCTGTTTTTTTAATCCGCTATTCCTTGTAAGTGCCGGCTCACCTTTCAGGTGTCTGACCGGAGTAGAGGTATATACACGCATACACACAGGCACATCTACATATCTATTCTGTTTGCCGTTATTCCTTGTGTTGCTGCTGCTTTGTGCTTATTGACTTTCCTTATATATTTCTTCCCTTTGTTTCCTCGAGTTCTTGGTTGCTTGCTTGTTTGTTCGTTTGCTTGCGTTTTTGCCTTCTTCTTTTTTGGCGCCCTTGCCTTCTTCTTCCCTTCCTCCCTGCTTTCCTTTCCCCCCATTTCCTCCCTTTCTCTCGCTCTCCCTCTTCCTCTTTCCCTCTCCCTCGCCCTCGCCCTCGCCGCCTCTCCCTCTGCCTCTCCCTCTCCCTTTGCCTCTCCCTCTCCCTCTCCCTCTCCCTCTTCCCTCTTCCCTCTTCCCTCTTCCCTCTCCCTCCCCTCTCCCCTCTCCCCTCTCCCCTCTCCCCTCTCTCCCTCTCCCCTCTCCCCTCTCCCCTCTCCCCTCTCCCTCTCTCTCCCTCTCCCCGTCCTCCCTCCCCCCCTCCCTCCCCCTCCCTCCCTCCCCTCCCCCCTCCCTCCCTCCCTCCCTCCCTCCCTCCCTGCCCCCCCTTTCCCAAGCAAAAGCTAAAAACAAAAAAAATTCCCCAAATAAAACAAAAAAAATTCCTCAAATAATTCCGGACCCGTTTGCTATAACCCTAAGCCTTAAACCCTAAACCTGAAACCCTAAACCCTAAACCCTGAACCTGAAACCCTAAACCTTAAACCCTAAACCCTGAACCTTTAAACCTGAAAAACTGAATCCTAAACCAGAAGCTCTGGGTTGTAAGGGAGCTCAGGGTCCCAGAGTCTTGGAGGTCTTAGGGTTCAGAGTTTACAGGCGCGGGGCTTCAGACTTCTTGGGGAAGGGTGCTGCTGGGGGGGGGGGGATCTTTAGGGGCTGTGAGTTTCCTAAACCCGAAACCCTAAACCCTCTCAGGGTTTCAGAGGCAGAACTATGTGTTTTGGATTTAGGAGTGAGCGTCTTGGCTTTCATAGGCTTGAGTGTATGATTTTTGGGCTTAGGTTTGTCGCTCTAAACCCTACCCTAAACCCTAAACCCTAAACCCTGAACCCTAAACCCTAAACCCTGAACCCTAAACCCTAAACCCTAAAGGCCCTTAGCCCTAACCCCATGTTTGGGGCTCTAACACCTTCTACGAGTGCACCTGCAGCGCTTGCCAAGGCTCCCCATTTAGGGTTCAGGGATGTTTTTAGGGCTTGGGTTTAGGGTTACTTAGGGGTACTTAGATTTTTTTAAATTTTTGTTATTATAATCCCTAAGAAACAGCTAAAATTCTAATTTTTGCTAGGGTTCTAAGTTCAGTACAGTTTAGGGTTCAGGGTCCTGCACCCCAACGGTTGCCACGCATCCCGCCGAAGAGAAGCACAACATGAACGCAGCAAGCCTGGTTTCTACACTTCTTTTGGGGCTTTGATGGTAACCCTAAACCCTCGAGCCTCAAAACCGTAGCCCTAAAGCCCAACGACCCACATGAGCCCCTTTAATCCTAAACCCCAAAAACCACAAATCCTGAAAGCCCTACAAGCTTGAAGCCCAAAGCCCGGAAACCCCAACCCTCCAAGCCTTTATAGGATTCTTGCAAAGTTATTGAAGCCTTACATTACAGGACCCGTATTGGATCCTTACAGAGCCCCAAAGTTTCAATCAGGCACATGACTGCCGTGCCAGGTGGCTGCAGGCAGATGCGGGTACTCAATGAGTCGGCACGTCCTGTCCTGGGCTTCCAGGACGAGTCCCTCTGCACTCTGTACTAGGTAGGGCTTTGGGACATTTTATATTGGCTCTTTTCGGGCTTAAGAGGATCTTAGCTACTAATATAACTTAATATTTTTCAAAGGCTTTAAAGCACCTCCCAGTGTAGCGGATAAGAGGGTTTCGAGTCCGGGGCTGCAGAGCTTAAAGCTACCCTAAACCCTAAACCCTAAACCCTAAACCCTAAACCCTAAACCCCTAAACCCTAAACCCTAAACCCCTAAACCCCAAACCTAAGGTTATTGGGGTTCGGCCTGAGGGCTTTCAGGCTGGGGGTTCGGCTTTCGGTACTTCTGGGCCTGCAGGTTCTGGGATTTCGTGGCTTAGGTTTAAAATAGGCCGAAAATCCCTAAACCCAAATGAGTGGTTGTCGAAATTATGGTCCCTTTTTTAAGTCTCTGTTATAATATACGGCACCGATTGTTATTTAGGGCACCCAAAAAGGGACCCCTAGTTTGACAACTACCTAAATAAATAGGGTTTCCGGGCTTGGTCTTCAGGGTACGACCCACCGAAGCTCGACAGCCCTGAGCCTTGCAACTGCAAGCGGGTTTGGGGTTTAAATGTGTTCATGTTTAGGGCATTTAGGATTTCAGGCTTAGGGTTGAGGGTTTAGAGTTTAAGTTTAGTCGCGTGATTTTTGAAAGATTTCGTCAGGCTGCAGCCTAGAAAGAGTTGAACCAGAACAAGCTGATCCAAGGCACGCGGCGAAGTCAAATCAAACCCGAAAAACTCTCTTTGAACTCCAGCTTAAGCAAGCGCACCATGTATGTATACATGTATGCATGTATGTATGTATGTATGTATGTATTTACGCAAAGGGCCGCGTCACTTAGACTCTTCGCCCGAAACAGCAGAAAACCGCAGATGTATTTACGTATGTATGTATGTACTTATGTATGTAATTCGTCATCTATGTTATCTAACTATTTATGCGTTTGTTGATTACGCGTCAGGGTCAAAATGTGTAGAGTGTCAGGTGTAGGCTTCAGATGTCAATCTTCTGGGATATGTTGCAGCCGTCCTGCGCGAAGGCGAAGCCGTGTTGCTCAAGTCACAGTTGCTCCGACATAACACCCGCAGCAGCCTCCACCACCTGAGCAAATAAATGACTCTGTGCTGTTAAGTATTTCTCAGCCCTGAGAAGCAACACTGCCCTATCAAGTGAGTGAAGCCATTATGCAGGCCTTCTGATCACTTCTCGATTTATCCCTCCCTCCGGCAACACAGCCTCGGTGTACATAATGGCTGTCATAGACGGCGGCGAAGATGCCCCGGCAGAGCAGACTCTGTACGACTCTCCGCCATGATTTGACGGGTGCTCGAGGTTCGACCAGGCGGATAACCTCCCTCAGCTTCATTGCGGGGCAAGGGGCCCTACACATCACATCAGCCAAAGCCCTAACTCAAAACCCCTGACCCCCAATTCCATCATAAATTTTCAACTATTTGTACCTCCCAAGCCCCAAACCAGAAGTACCCAATTATTCAGTGACTCTTGCTAAGAGTAGTACCTGCACAGGGTTAGTTTCAGAGACCCGAAGAGAGCTTGGCAAGTACTCTTGTTTCCTGTCAGTCTTATGGGTTTAGGGTTTAGGGTTTAGGGTTTAGGGCTTAGGGCTTAGGGTTTAGGGTTTAGGGTTTAGGGTTTAGGGCTTAGGGTTTAGGGTTTAGGGCTTAGGGTTTAGGGTTTAGGTTTTAGGGTTTAGGGTTTGGGTTGAGGGTGTTGGGTGTGCAGTTTAGGGTTTAGGGTTGAAAGCAGGGCTATCTGGCTACCTGCCAAACAAGACTAATTTAGGAACCTGATTTAAAAACCCGGCACGAACCCTGCAGTTCCTGCAGTTCCTAAACCCAAAATACACCAGAACCTCATGTCTCAATCACCCTAAACCCTAAGCCGTAGATCCTAAAACTAAACACTGAGCATAAATTCTAATTTCATAAAGTGGCCATTCCTGGAACTACCGTAACGTCCCTAAATTCTAAGCCCTTCTGGGGCTCTATTTGGGGTGCCTTGGTATAACTATACCGAAACATACACAACTATCAGGGCTCCTATCTCACACCCCAATCCTTCGTAGAAGCCAGAAAGTTGGAAGATCGGTAATATAGGGGCCTCAAAAACTAGAATAGGGTTTGGGGGTATACTATGAGTAGAACAGACCCCAAAACTCTAATTATTACAAGGCCCCGACATCATCCTCATGCCCCTAAGGTGAAGTAGAGGGAATCCCAGCACTAATCATCCTAAATCCATAGGATGTTCCAACTTCCTGGGGGTCACCATAGGGCAATTGGCGCCCAGGAACTCTTGGGTGTGGAGGAAGAAGCGACGCAGGAGGACCCCATGGTGCATTTGGGTTTTTGAGGGTTCGAGGTTTAGAGACTGGGTTTGGGGGTGTAAGTTTGCAGTTCAGTCCTAGTGCGTTCAGGGTTTAGGTATAGGGCGGGGGAGGGTTTAAGATTAAGACCTTTCAGTGTTTCCAGTTATGTATCTGGTTTGGGTTTGCAAGTCTGTGGATTGAGACTTTGTGTTCGATCCGTGTGCGGTTGTCTTGGCAATGACTAACTTTAGAGTCTAGCTGGTTCTTCGGGGTTTACTTGTTTATTCGATGAAAACGTACTACATATGCACAGCAGTGGGTAAACAACATAATAGGTGCTTGGTGTGACACGATCCCTAAAGCCCAAAACCCTAAGCCCTAAACCCCGGCAATGAAGACAATCCACGTGCTTGGGGCCTTGAGATTAAGGGTTTAGCGCTTGGAAGTGTTGCGATGATGTTGATCTGCTCTAAACCCCAGACCATAAACACACAATTTAGCAGCCATACTTCAGTAAAGTGAGCTCCTCAGCCTTTCCGAACCCTTAACCCTAAACCCTTTCCGAGCCTTGAAGCGGCAAGGACATCATCCGAGCCTATCGGCAGCGAGCTTTAGAGCAGCATCCCGACAAAGGCGGGGACAAGGATGACTTCGACGCGCTGAACAAGGCAGCAGCTCGGGGCTACTCTCGGGGCCTTAACAAATACCTACACTATTCTGGTGGGGTTTCCTTAGGTATAATGTACCTCCAAGCCATGTTCTAATGATTAAGGCGGTTTAGGGCTTGTAGGGTTCAGGGCTTGCGGTGTGGGGTTTAGGGAAGTTTGCGGTTTAGGAGGCTGCATGACTACTCTCTAGCATGGGCTTCATGAGCTCGGGAGATGTGAGGAATTATTGCTCCAGCGGTTGGTCATAGTTCTGATGATGATGACGGTGACGTGGTTATGACGATGATGAGCATGACGACGACGATGAAACTGAGGATGTTTCCCCGAAGTCCCACGGTATTCGTTGTTCTTTTGTTTCTCCTGTCACTGGGTGCGAAGATTTCAGCAGGGTCTGCTTTACCGCAGGATCTACTGCAAAAAAAAGGCCGTAAGCCCTAGACTTAGACCCAAAACTCCTATGAACCCTAAACCCCAACAATCCCTAAACCCTAATCCCTAAACCTTAAACCCCAATAATCCGTAAATCGGAAAGTGGCGATTTCCCCCCCCCCCCCCCCCTTCGGGGACTTTGTTGCGTTGCTGGATGTCCGCTTCGAACTGGAAGATGCCGGCTTTGGGCATCTTTGGCTTCGGGTTTTCATCTTAGGGAACTCTGGGTCTGGGTGTCAGGGGTTTCAGGGGTTTAGGGTTTTAGGGTTTAGGGGTTTAGGCGTTTAGGTTTTAGGGGTTTAGGGGTTTAAGGGTTTAGGGCCTAGGGTTTGGGGGTCTAGGAGTTTAGGTGTTTAGGATCTTTGGGGTTTACGGGTTTTGTTCAGGGGTTCAGGCTTTAGGGTGTGACTGAAACTAGGGTTCTTTATGCGGCTCCGAACAGGGGTATCTTAATCAGGTTCCTACATTTGCAAGGAAGAGCGCTCCCAGCACTTGTAGTCTTGTTCACCTGGCTATGTTGAGTGAGGGTGGCCGTGCTAGCAGTAGTCCACCCTGAATACCCTAAACCCTAAAAATACCTTAAAACCAAAACCCTAAACCCTAAACCCAACAGATGTTATTAAACGAAGTGTCTGGGTTTCGGGGGACGGCTTAGTGCTGGTTTGGGATTCTGATTTGCATGATTTCGGCGATGGGTGGCGAGATGAGACTCTATCCAGCCCTAGCCCGTTTTCTTCTGTTTTCGGGTTGAGTCCTGAGAATCCTGACCTACATGATGCGGCAGGCGTATGCCACCCTCAATGATGACACGCGCAGGCACGGAATGCAACCAGGGCTTCAGCGTCTGAGTTCGATGGCATAGAGGTTTGGGGTTTGGCGACAGAACACGAAGTTTCAAAGGGGAACAAGGGTTGGGGACGTCGAGTTTAACAATGGGGCGACCCAGCATCAGCGGCATTGTGGTTGGGCATACTACACATACATACGTATGTGTAAACATACAGTAACATATCTATAATCTATAATATATGTGTGTGTGTATATATATATATACATGTTTTTTCACACACAGATCGTCATTTTGCACATATGCACCACGTAAGACTTGTCATCAGGAGCAGCCTGTGGATGGATAGCCTGGAGTGTTGTTCCAAGCAAGGGGCATGTTGAGCTGGGTTTGTTTATGCTTGCCAAGAGGTCCAGCTTGTTGTTCCTTGGCAAGCTTGGATGTTGATGCTGCATGTCATGTAGCTTTCAATGCTAATGCCCCAAATCCGAAACCCTAACCTGCTAATTAAACCCTACACCTCTTAAGCTCTGAACCCCTGAGCCTCCCATGTAAGTTCTTGCATCCTCCGTGGCAAACTTGATCCTGAAGCTTGGGGCCCAGACCCAACAACGCAGCAAAATGTGAGCTCGAAGGTTCTAGTATAGGGGGGTTTTGTAGGGTTTTGCTGGTTTTATGAAGGTGTTGTTTACCAGAGTCTGATGTTGTATGAAAAGGTGTTATTCGTATCGGAGCCGTAATACTTAGAACAGGGCTTGGGGCTCATGACCAGATGTTAAGATAGGTACTACAAGCGACTCTTCTGGCAGGCTACTTTAGACATTTCAACTCGAGCATGTCCCAAGCTCAACCCCAAAGCCACGAAGACCCGAAAGTCCGAATCCCCCCCCCCACCCGGCAGAAGCGCCAAAAGACCTGATAGAACACCCTAAACCCTAAACCCTAAACCAGAACCCTATAAATGTCGCAGAGACAACGGGCTGCGGTTGAAGCAGGGTTTGGGGTCGGCGTCCCAGGAAACAGTAGGACCCTGATTGTAGGAACCGTCTCCTGGCTGGGAGGCCCCGCCCGACCGCAGAATTCGCCCTCCAAGTCATTGCAGCTAACAGTTGTTTCGTTCGTATATACTGAGAAACCGCCCCCAAATCCATTGTCTACTAATCCCTCCCAACCTGTATGACATGTAAGCAGGGGCGTCATGATGTGATTTCAGGTGCTGTCAGCACTTGGGCGTTGAATCCAATGAACCCTCACCCTGAAAAGATCTAGATTATGAAGTCTCCTAGCTGCCAGCCCTAGACCCAGCGTTAACCAATGAACCCTAAGACCTTATAGACCCTAACTTTGACATAATATAGGGGCCGAAATAATTACCGATACTATTTGGGGGGTTCCTCATGATATTTACAGTATACATAATGGGCCCCAAAGCCCTTTTCTGAATACTAATGACCCTACATTCTAGTGCCCTTATAGATCCCTTATAGTAACCTTTATAGACCCCTTTAAAGGAACCCTATATATACTAATTACTAAGGGTCCTCTGTTTTATAGCCTCAGTTCCAACTTCAGCTCTGTTCAGGCGAGCCTACGATCTTCAGCTCGCCAAGGAGAGGGAGCGCGAGCTGTTGGTCGAGGTGGCGAGAGGGGGATGGTTGGTGCTGTTGCTATAGTGTGTGTGTGGGTGTGTGTGTGTGTGTGTGTGTGTGTGTGTGGGTGGGTGGGTGGGTGGGTGGGTGGGTGGGTGGCTTGTATGGGCCACTGAGGCTCGTAGCTATGCTTTATATCGAAAGTATTACCATTTTCATGTACTCGTATTTCTGTCACTCTTCTTTATGTCGAGCTTTTCTCATGCTTCATTCAGAAGGTTTTGGTCACAGGGCTTGGAGCAGGATGGCCATCTGTGCCATTGTTGTCATTCGTTTTGCCCTGACTCGCCATTGCTGCATCACTGCCACTGTAAGGACGGGGATGATTATGACTGTTGTGGTTATATACGATTGCTGGGTTTAGGGTCAGAGTTCAGGGTAATGGAACCCGAAAGCTGAGGTGCAACAAACTCATTCCATGGGGTTTTTGGTGTTCCTAATTGTACTCGAAGCATGATATTTCCCCAAATCCGATTCGAAGTATTAAGGCCCCTACATTAAATCCACGCTGAACCCACGCACAGGGCGGCCGAAGCACGTTCTCCAAGCAGCAGCTGCAGGCGCCCATGCCTCGAATCCCGTCAAAATGCATCATTATCTTGGGGCCTTAATTGGGGCCTTAATGAGGACATGAGAGTATCGCGTTCCTTTAAGGCTTCCTCCAAAGGGGTCTAGAACTTTTTTTGAATGAGGGCTACTATACAGAAGGATTTAGTCTACGGGCCTCCGTAGTTAGAATCCGGTCTTTGGGTAACTTCTACTAGGGGCATGCATAGGAACCTTTAGGAATATTCTTCGGAGCCCGGTACCGTTGTGTTAAGAGAAGATTGCAGGATGACGAGCAGATTTCCCACTCCGACGACGACCTACTACTACGACGACGACTATGCCTGATACTTCCACTACTCTCAACAACTTTGAGTCATAAACGTGCCTTTCAGTCTTACTTGAGATCTGTAGCCGAGTTTTTTGATATGGAACACATGGCAGTGCCGCGCCTCGCATCAACGCCTGAAGACTGCACAGCCGCGACGTCGAAAACTGATCTGGAGTTTTCTAACCATTGATATTGGGGATGATGATAATCCCTACTAGATAAGGAGCTAAAGAGCCAAGGGAACCCCAAAAATCACTTGTTAGTTCTGGAGCCGAGGAATCAAGACAGCTCCAACTCCTGGCTCCAAGAGGCAGGCCCAGCTCCTGCGCCGATCATCCAGCTTAGGGTCTTAGGTTGGATACTGCCCCCACTCAGCATCTGTGGAATAATATCCACAACTATAATACTAGCCTTGTTGTTGATAGTTACTGAGTTACTGTATGGGGGTAGTATGTATAAGTTTTAGTAAACATAGATAGGCTTTATATATAGGGGTTAGGATTTATTTGTTTTAGGATTTGGAGACTGGGAGTTGGGTGTTCAGGGTTTGGGAGTTTAGGGGTTACTTTCTAGGAGCTAGGGCTACAAAGCACGAGAGTAGCCGTTTCTAGCTCAGGGTCTAAGTCTATAGGGTTTCGCCCACAAATGTCCAACATGCCACGACTGAATTTCCTCCAACAATCCAGGCTCTTGAATTGGAGTATGGGAACTGCAGCTTCCTGTTCGAGGTTTATGTGCTTGAACTGAATGCTTAGGGCATAAACCAGAAGTGTTTGAATCCTCAAACCCTAACCTCTACACCCTCGAACGAGATTGAATCCCTCTTGAGCCATGCTTACCGTCCTTAAGCCATGTCCTTCTGAAGGGTGGACGACCCTGGACTAGGCTTTATGAGAAATTGAGATCTCTGGCCGCGACGAAAAACAAATTGTCGGGCTTTGAGTCCATGAGACCATTAGTATGTCGACCTCAGTGCCTTTTGACAATTCTACGGATCTAAGGATGCGGACGTCGCAGCCCGGGAAGCCACAGTGCTGCGCTCACGAGTGGAAGGGCATGGGCTCTGGCCACTCGGACAAAACACCGAGTCATCATACCGTTATCCTCACTCCTCAACTTGTACTTGTAATGATAGTTTTAGATATACTCATACTTGTCTGCTGCACGTACCTAGACCTGTGCCGAAACTTATATTGCCTCATACTTATACGTATGCATACTTTATACTACTGCTTACCAGCATGACTATGCTCGTACATGCTGTAATTTCTGGCAGTATGATTGCTACGACTATCATCATGTCTGATGAATAGACCCCCTAGGAGCTTGATTAAGTGATCCTGCTCCAATATCCCCACAATCTTAGGATCCCCAATACAGAGCTGCAAAAGCCGCCCTAGACCCTAAACCCAAAACGTCCGTAGCCTTTTGGTTCAAGATGTGTGGTTGAAAGCCTTGAAGGCCGAGGCTCGCCGAGCTGGGGGTCGGATCGCGAGATGGGCAGGGCACAGCACAAGAATCGCCTCAGTGTCGTCAAGGAGCAGTTGAATGAGACGCAGGAGGCTGGCCAGGCTTCGCGGTCTCAGCTCGAAGCCACACGTCTGACAGAGGCGGCGGCGGAGACCAACAATGATCATGACGTGCCACCTGCCACCTGGTTCGGACCGACTCTGAGCCCAAGCCTTGACCGACTCTGAGCCCAAGCCTTGTGCTGCGGGCGCGTCTTCCGCCACGAGTGAACTTCAAGCAAAGGACAAGGCCAGGAAGGCCTTGAAGGAGAGAATGAAGAACAACTTCTTGAAGGAAGAGGCTGTGGACAAACGTGTCATCCTCAATGCGTGGAAGAAGGAAGTGGTTCTCGGGAATGCCGAGACCTTCGGCAAGGGAGTACGACGACTACTTCACGGGAAGGAGATCCCGCTCCTCCGCATGGATGAAAGGGCCGACAGCCTCTGATTGTGGGAGTTTCCGGCAGCCGCGGGCTCCTTTGTGCCTGGACCTCGAGGTTCCATTGGGGCCGCAGCAGTTGGAGGCCCGGTCCAAGGAGCCAGAATTGTCACAGCGAGACCCATGCAGGCATGTCTCCGGCTCACTGTTCTGGGGGAGACGTGGCCTTTTCTGCGGATGTGCCCGGCTCCTTTGCCTCCATTGACCAGCAGCTCCTCAATCTCATCCGGCGTCACCATGACCTGCGAGCCCTGCCTCACCGTTTTTCATTACCCTGGCCAGGGCGCAGCCTCTTCGTATGGGGTTCTTTCAAGAAGTTGTTTGGGTCATTCGGGAGTCTGAAGGTGTGGAAATCATCTGGGATGCCAAGCACTCCGTTCCTGCTCGCTTGCTGAGCACAGGTCCGCTCAGTTTTTGATGAGTTCTGATTGGGGTCAGGCTGGATGGCGCGTTAATGGGGTCTCTGAGTCCACAATAATGCGCCACACCTTCACTGATAACTTTATGCAGCCGAGTGTTTGCTAACGGCCGCGCCTGCCGTGGTTCCACTTAGGGCCGTTTTAGCACTCTGTCCAGTGCTGCAGCCATACACTTGGGAGCTTCCGATGCCTTTTGAAGTACCTGACTTCTACTCGTCTGTCAGAGCCCGCCGACTACGACTCGAGAGCCACTTGATGGCGGAGGGAGCAGCTAGACTGTTCGGGCCGCATCACGGCGAGCTCACGATCAGGTTTGGGCTGGGTACTGTTCCTTCGGCCGGGGCAGTTGATGAGGCTGCTGCTGCCCTGCCAGACTTCCTTCGCAACTTGCATTTCACTGGGACACCCATCTATGGTATGCAAGAGGCTGTGTGCGTGAGTGCCTACGGTCTTGAGCCACTTGCTCGTTCACATTCTTCCGCCTGACTCTGCCTTCATGACGAGTGTTCCTGCTGCTCCACGAGTTGTTCTATTCTATACCCTCAGCGCAACCTAGAACACGGTGATGTCCTGGTTTCGATACCAGAGCCTCAGCTATGGGAGGATCCAGTGTCTGATGACATTGTGTTGCTCCCCGGGCAGGAAGCTGCTATGGCCTCTGCTCCTGCAGGGACAACAACGCGGCCCTCCGCCGCCCGTTTCTCAGGCTTCGCAACGGAGCACAGTTTTGCCTTTCCTACCTTCCAGAGGCGCCTCTCTGGCGCAGATTCCGGATTTCACCAGGGCTCAACAGCGCCGGTGTCAGCAGGCTGAGTCTCGTGGACTCGTCACGGCACAATGCCCCTGCGTTGCAGCATCCTCATCTCTGAGTTGCTGGGAAAACGATATCATGCTTGGATCAGGCAAGCCCATGCATACCTTTCAATGCCACCGCCAACCGCTCCATGCGGGCATGGGCGGCGAGATTTCTACCGGGGTATTGTCCTTGACTCCGCTCTTTTCAATCACACATGCAAGAAAAGAGGGCCTCTCATGGAATCCTGTTCTTGGATCTGAGAGCTGCTTGTTACACAGTTGTCCGAGTTTTCTCACAGGAGCCCAACAGGCCGCTGACTTTTCCACAAATGGGCCACACAGCAGGATATTGACGGGGAGATGGCGGATGCCATGCACCAGGCCCTTTGCCGCCATGCACCGGAGTCCCTGCCATGGGGTTTCAAGGGCACCAAGCCTGGGGATCCTCTTGCGGACCTCCTGTTCGCGCATGTTCTGCATCCGACTTTCTATCCATTGAGCAGCAAGTGCGGGCCAGCGGTCTAGCTGCTGACCTTCATCTAGGAGGCATCCTAGGTCCTGATTCGGGTGTTAGCAGGAACCTGGTTACCGAGGCCTGGCACGATGACATCGCCATCTGTGTGCAAACCCAGTCGGCTGAGGACCTGGTGCCTGCTGCCAGAACGGTCAGGAGTTTTCTGCCAAAGGCCTAGCCCTCAGCTTTGAACGAGGCAAAACTGAGAGGCTCTTTTCTCCTTTGCGATGCGGACAAACGAAGGTTAAGATTTCGCTCCTTGCTGGCCCTCCTGCTTGCATTGCTGTCCTGCCTGATTCGGCTATGGTGCTTCCATCGGCATTGCAACGGAATATAAGCACCTTGGCTCGATTGTTTGCGCCGATGGGTCCCTCCGGTTGGACATTCGCAGGCGCATTGGTGAGGCAGCGGCTGCAGCTGGTGAGTTGCGCAAACGGGCTTTTGCACATCCGGGCCCTGGTCTTGAGCAGGGCCAGAAGGCCTCCTTTGGCAAGGTGGATTGCTTCGCGCCACGATAGTCACCTGACTCAGGCGGACATCTGTCAGCATACTTGCATGCCAGCGCGTCTTCATGTGGTCTCAATAGAGAACTGAGCCAGTTGAGCCGGTCCTCTTGTCAGCCTACCTTACATGTGTTGGAGGCGGGCATTGGGGCTAAGAAATGCTGGTTGTCCCCGATTGCTCAGGATGCGGCATGGGCGGCCGGTGTCCTCCCGAAGAGACTTCCTCAGGCCTGGCGCGAGGATCCTGATATTGAGCATATCTTCACTTGGGTTCGTCAGAACCAGTCCTCTTTCGCGAAGGCTGTCCAGCTGTTGTGGGAGGCCTGCAGCCGCCCTCCCTCAGGAGGCGAGCCTCCTCCTCCATGTGCAACCGCCTGATCCGATTTCTCTCCTCTGCCTTCTTTGTCAGTCCCTTCACGGCCGTCAGCCGGACGGGTCTTTCGGGTCATGTTTCTCATGCCCATGGCGATTTTCGGTCCCGCACACGAGGCCTCCGGCACCTCCGCAAGCACGCTCCCTGTCTTGAGGCCCCTCGTGGCTCCAATCGCTTTCTTTCCAAGGAGGCATCTGAGGCCCTGGACAGTATGGAACTGAAGCGTATTAAGGCCTCCAAGGGCAGAGGCCGTCCCGACTTATGCCCGGCCTTCTGCTCTACCTTTGCTTGTACAGGAACATGGCTGACAGCGGAAGAAGCCGGCATAAAAGGCGAACTTTTCTTGGAAGATCATCTTCCTTAGTTACGACCTCTTGCCACAGCGGCAATGTCTTCGCATGTTTTTGCTCGCCCGCATTCAGATTGGACTCCACACTGGCCGAAAAAACTCAAACCCTAAACCTCAAGCCCTAAACCCGAAACCGGTTCCTTAGATCACTCTGAGAACTCCTGATCTGCTTCATAGACCCATAGGCTCCCTCAACCATAAACCCCCAACCCTAAGCCGCGAACCCCAAACCCGTAACAGCAAGTCGCTGCTCCTCTGAGACTGATGGGAATGAGGGCTTCAGATGTGGCCTGATGTGCGTCGTTCCTTTGGAGTGTGCGCCCGCTTTGGGTGAGACAAACTCCGCAAGGAGCCAGGGCTGACACGCTCAAAAAACCCGAAACTCTGAATCCTGAACCCGGAAGATCATCAGGAAAAAGCCTGCTGAAAATGCTGACGGACGATGTCACCGCAGAGGAATCTTGGCGTCTGGGGTAGATTTTTGGAAGTTCGAAGGTGTAATGTAGGGGCCTTGATAAATATTTTTAAATTTTAGGGGATCATCGGACTCAGTGGTTATAAAGTAAGGTAACTATGCTTGCTATTTTGTTGTAACCGCAATTAAGGCTTAAGGTACGTATAGCTTTATTTACTAGGTCCCATGATCCTCCAAGTAGGCTTCCTTGGAGGATGTTAGTGTACGGGCTTAGACACGACTGGAGTTTTGGAAAATGTCAAACTCTGACTATAGCGGAGGGAGTCCATGTCTCAGCCGTATACGTAGCCGTATACGCCTAATTCCCTACAGAACCGTCATGGTCTCTTATAAAGCATTGTGCTCCCCACACGCAAACAATATGGCATGCTTAGCATACCCTCCCGACCGCCATGCCGGGCTGTTGAAGGTCAGAGCCGAGACAGAAGGGGAGCCAACCATCCAAAATCCCCAGCACTAAACGTGAAACCTGAGTTGCAAGAACACCCATAGATTTCGACGCCCACTCTAGGGAATCTTTTAACCCCAATCCCTAAACCCTGAACCCTGAATTCTAACACCTCAAGCGTCCAAGATCTGACTGCAAGGAAGAAACGACGAACTTTGCACCCCAGCGCAAAAATTTCCCTTTCGGCCTAATTAGTCTCCACCCTTCCAGCCCTCGAATCCGAACTCTTACATCACCAAAATAAGGGCTTGATGAGTGGGAGTTCATGGGTACCAAGGGCCCTAAACGAAACTTAGGGGTTCCTGTAAAGGGCTCTATAAGGGTTCCTTCAAGGTTCAGGGGACTCTGTTTTGCTACTATCTACATTAGCTTCCACCACTACAACAGGGGACTTTGTTTTGCTACTATCTACAGTAGCTTCCACCACTAAAAAATCCCAAGCCCTTCGAAGGAAAGGACGCAGAAGCTTCTTGACCAATACACCTCCCTGCCGCGGAACAAGGTCGGGCTCCAGTTACTAGGGTTTGGGGGTTTAGGGTTTAGGGCTCCAGTTACTGGGGTTTAGGGGTTTATAGGGTTAAAGCTTATTGTACATAATTTGATACATGGCCACGCCGAGGCCCAAAGACTCCAGACCCTAAATTCGCACACACGACCGTAAGCCCAACCCTGAATCGCTAAAGGCAAAATCCTAGATCCCCGATGGGGCATAAGGACCCCAAATCCAGGCGAATGCCAGAACTGTTGATTCGTTACTGGGAGCCATAATTAAGCAATCGTCGCTGAAGCCCCAAGCCCATGAGCCCTGAAAGCACACCGAGGGAGCATGAAGCACCCCCCACGCCCGATCGCTAAGATCTTCTTGCTGTCAGGGTGTATAGGACGTCGGTTATGAATTTGTATGAGCTTTTTGTGAGCGTGGGAACCTCATGTCCGAGTACGTGAAGAGCTATACGTATCAGAGTTCTGATTCCAACCTCCCCCAGGCTTATACTCCAAGATACTTCGTTTCTGGGCGTAGTCCTCCGGCACAGCCTTAGATGCTAAAGCCCGAAGATAACTTTGAGGGAGAAGCCCAAAGCCTTTTTTGTTTTTGTTTTCTTCTATATATCTCTCTCTCTCTCTCTCTCTCTGGGGTAAGGAGAAGAGGCAGGAATGGACCAATGGCCTTCGCGGCAAGGAGCACATGCAGTGTCGTTGCTTGCTCTACATGTTTTGACTGGGGGTGGGTTTGGAGCCAGGGGCTAGAGCGAATAGAAGTGGAGACAGTTTCTTGTGGTTTGGATCAGGCGTCGGCTTGAACTAAGTGGAATAGCACGCACCAGGGTATCTGGGGGTAACTTCCGTGCTATAATTAAACCCTGAGCTCCCACCCTTACATCCTGACCTATGGCCTAAACCCGCAGGCCTCTGATAATTCCTAAGCCCTCATTACACAGGTTTCCCCAGACCTAACAAACAGAATCCTTCAGCCAACCCTAGACCCTAAACTGCCGAGAGCGCAGCTGACCGTTTGCATGGGCGCTCGAGGCTCCGACCGAGGCCCCGGCCGAGCGTCAGAACGGTCATGGAGGGTATAGCCTCCAGGTATACGAGGACTGCAACCCTAAACCCTGCAACCTGAACCTTCCTGCAGCCGGAAGCACAGGAGCTTTGACATGACCCGAACCTTAAGCCCAAAAGTTGAAAGTCAACAAGCGAACCCCAAGGCTTGAAGCTTGAATTCTGAGGAGGGTTTAAAGCACCTTCCAGAACCCTTATGAAACCCGTTTTTAAAGGTCCCTTGTGGAACCTTTGCAGAACCCGTGTGAGCCCTGTCATGAATCGATCCATTGGCCGTTTATTGAACCCTCCAAGGCCCCTTAAAGAGCTAGCAACGGTCATTTCCCAGTTCATGTGACGCCCAACCAATGAAACCCGCTTCCCACTAGCCTGAAAACTGAACCGCTCCTGGTAATCTGACACACACAACTCAGACCAATGGCACTGCCCAAATACCTGACCTTATTCACAAGGCAACTTGTTGCTCCCCATCAGAAACCAATCCAAAGACACCCTGGCTTCCAACTGACAAAGGCATCAAATCTTGTGAGAAAGCCGTGACGAAAGGCCGAACCAATGAATGTGTGCAATCCCGACACCCAGAAGCCCCTATAGCCAAGGCCCGAAGCGTTGGTCTATGGCGGTATGCAGTACACCCAAGACGCAAATCCAGAACCACAAGCTCGCCACGTTTATCAAAGACACCCAAGTGGCGAGGGCCCTGGCCGAAACATTCCCCTGTAGCTTTTCCCAAGCAATGCCTTCTTCTTGACATCGCCTCCTCCAATGGCGAGCCTGTTTTCCTGATGTTCCAGACGGTCAGCCAGGCCAGAGGGGAAAGAACTGGCGCATGGCGGCTTTCAGAAAGTGTCATCTGCAAGACTCCATGAGGACCGTGGCTGGATTGAAGTTGTGGTAAGCGAGCCACTGGAATTAAGCACGCAAGCTGCTTTAGAACTTCGACGCGAAGCCTGGATGACCTGCGTATTGGTGTGACTGGGTGCCAAAAACCTTGAGGTTTTTTGGCATTGTCCTAGCGGCATCTTTTTCTGGATTGGTGATGGCGTATGGAGGCAAATCAGTCGACGACCTGGACAGCCTGCCACATCAATCCACATCAGGAACTCTTCATTGTACTTAGAATGGTGACCTCCGTGTTGAGTTTCCTGCACGTTGAGCGGAGCATTGCACATTTGGACTTGAAGCCGTCCAATGTGCTGAAAGCTGCCAACAAATACATGCACATGAACTTTGTTGCGGCAATTCTCATCGCTGTACCCGAGGAACCGCTTCAAAGAAAACCCGGCAACCTTTACTTCGCACCTCCATCAACGTGGCTAGGCGGTGGACATCTGGCCAAGCTGACGGATGCGTACATGGCTACAGCCTGTTTCAGAAAGGTTGCCATCACAAAGTCGCAAATCGACCTTGGAGACCTTCTCGCCCGCTGGCTGGAACCTCAAGAAAAGTCGGCGCCAGTCACTGCAATCTTTCTCAAAAGTGGACAGGTTGGATGCATTCCCGAACTCTACTAGCTAGATGGCGCGGAAGAAAAGATTGCTGGCATGATGCATGCTGTGCTGTTAGCAACTGCACTGTCGCGAACTCCTAAACCACAAACACCAAACGCCTTCAAGGTCGCCACTCATCAATGCGCATAGATAAACCCCTACTAAAACATTATGATTAGATCGCTTCGTGAGCAAAGGGTCGGACCGAGGTCTAAGTTTAAACCTCAAGACGAGAGCACTGGGGTTAAATCCGAAAATTTCGCACAGCCAAAGGAAGGGGTGCTGAGTGCTGAGCCCCAGCTTTTGCATATATGTAGATGCAGCTAAGAAATTACGGCATTTGGAGGCTCCGGGTTTGTAGCAAAGAGGAATCAACGCTGATCCAGAACCAAAAGCCCGATACTTCCGAACCTCCAAAGCGCGGAACACCTGCAGGCCTAAAGTGCTGTTGAAATGTGTTGTTCACCCCTTCCCCGTAAATCAAACCGTAAGCTCTATCTCCTGAACCCTAATAACCCCTGAAAGCATGTCATTATTTTCGGGCTCAGACTTGAGCCCTGCCGACGCGCGAGGAGAAGCAAGATCTAAAAGCAGCAGCCAAGAAAAAGGAGGAGAAGGCAACACAAAGAATCAGGGTTTGGCGTTCTACGGGTATAATTTGAGTTTAAAGTTAAGGGTATACGGTTTCTGACGTCAGGGCAAACACATGAAGCGCCACCTTGAAACTTCAACCTTAAGGATCCTAAGCTCCCTCAGGGTCGGGCGAGTTTAGGGGTTCGAGGCGCAGAGGTTCGGGGTCTTGGAAGTTGGAATTCGGAGCTGAAAAGGTTTAACGGTTCAGGGTCTAGTGTGGTGATTTAGGGGTGTAGGATGTAAGCTTGTTTGGAAAATCAGTTTCGGACTCAACGCAAGCAGTTTCAGCCCAGCCCTTGGCCCGAAACAGAGGCCCAGTAATCCCCATCCGTCCAACAACAGTTCCCCTCAAACCAAACCATTCGTGCCGTTTGTGGGAATATGCTGAAGCACAAAACCCTGAAGCTGAAACTAAGATGTTCAGAATCTGAAATGCCATCGAATGCCCACAAGCATCCGGAATCCCAAATCTTAAACTCATAACCATGAAGGAAGGCACGCTAGTTGTTCAAAACACCCCACACTTATAGAACACCTATATCTCGGTAGAAAACCTTGTATACAGCCCGACTGTAACGATGAACAAATGTACAAACCGTTAAACCCCTACAACCCTACAAATCCTTACGAAACAAGCGAATGCCAGGAGAGGGCTAAGTGGTCCTCTTGGCTCAGCAACGGCGTAGCGCATGCCAAGAGCGAGGTGTCTGCCAAGGTGCTCCGAGCGTTTCTCTGTTCACCACCAGGTTTAGGCTTAGGGTTTGGGAGTTTAGGCCGTTTATTTGTGTAGAAGTGGTTTGTATTTGGCTCTCATGGGGTTCGAGCTCGGGGATCAGGGCTTTCCTTTGTTGGGTGAAGAGTCATTAGCTTCCTCAGAGTGACTGTGTAATCACAGATTTTAAGTTCTGGATAGTTTGGCGGGTTTGTGATTGGGATTTTATGTTGTGAGCAGGCTCATCCCGATAGTTGCACACCACACAGCAGTCCAAGAGCAGAAGACCCACAAATACCGTTTCCAATACATCCGGCCTCTAGGTTGTCAGCCGCTAGGCCACAGAGTGTACAAAGCTCTCGTGCTTGAACTTCCTAGCTCCAAACCGAGCCCGCTGTCTTTTTCCATAAAACGCCTGCAATCTCGGGACGCCGGGAAACCCTTGTAAAGAGTTTGTAGAAAGGTCTCAATGCCCATGGCAAACTAGTATTCCAAGAAAGGGCTGAACAACAGAAACCTTTTTTAACAAGGAACAGAAACCTTTTTTAACAAGGAACTTAAATGAACCCTAAACCCTAAAACCTCCCCCTGAACCCCAAACCCTAAACCTTAGAACCTTAAGCTCTAGACCCCGTAATCCTTAAACCCTAAAGCCTTAAGCTCCAAACCCCTTAACATTGAAAGCTCCAAACCCCTTAAGCTTGAAGCCTAAAACCACACCGGAAGCCAAGGCGAAGGCCAAGACCAAGCCCAAGGCGAAGGCTTTCGTGCCGAAGCCGCGGGCGGATCCGCAGACACTCGCTTCGGCTTAGGGTTGGGGGATCAGGTTTCAGTGGGTCTTGAGATGTGCGGCAGTTTGAGTTTATACAGCAGATAGCAATATACTAGGCTTTTAGGATCAGGGGTTCAGGGTTGGGTGTGTTAGGGTTTTGGGTTTTGGTCTGAGATTATTTTCGCAGGATCCCTACAGATAGGGCTTGAGACTACAAGATATCTATGGTTCAGGGTTTGTGGGGATGGGAAGCGGCCGGACCCTGAACCCTAAACCCTAAACCGAGAAAATCTTGCAGCCTCCGATACTCTTCGTTGAGGGTTTAAGGTGTGCCTGCCTCCCCTCCTTTCTTCCTTCCCGGATCCAAAAAGTAGATCCCTTAATGGGGGTTCCTATAAAGTACCCTTAGTCTAGTATAGGGCCCCAAAAACAGGGGATCTACTTTTCGACCCTGAAACCCAGATCCGATCCTGAACCTCGAAGCTCTAGCACTTTGCTCCTTTTCCGGTGGTTTTCGGTAGTGCTGGAGACAGGGCACTCTGAAAGTTGAAAAGGAGAGGTAGCAAAAGCAATAGACATCAAGCACAAAACCCTTAACCCCCAAAACATGCCTTCACCCGAAGCTCTAAACCTTAAACCCTGACCTAAACCCTAAAGAATCCTGAACAACGCCCTAAGCCCCGAAGAACCTTAAACCCCAAACATATCGCCCTAAACCCTACCTGTAGCCGAAAGGGCCTTCCTTGTTAGGGTTCCTTATTATGGTTTCTATATATAGCTCCTTAGAAAGGTAGGTCTTTTCGGCTACATGTAAACCTCTCGAGCCCGACAACCCTAAGGAGCACTCAACCTCCAGAACCCGCAGCCTGAAAACCCTAACCCGCGAAAGCCCGAACACCCAAAGGAACTCCAAACCCTAACCTCCTAAACACCATAAACCCTAAACCTCCGACAACCCTAAAGAGTCCCAAAGCACCCGAAAACGCTTATCCCCTAAACCTCCTAAACTAACCATGGATATTGGGGGAGCTAAGGAGCCAGGGATGATGATAATCCCTACTAGATAAGGAGCTAAAGAGCCAAGGGAACCCCCAAAATCTTGAAGAACCCTAAACCCTAAACACCCCAAACCTCCTGGAACTCTAAAGAACCCTACGCCCTAAACCCTCAAAGCCCGAATAATCGTAACAATAATACGAATATCAATAATAAGACTAAGAAGAAGAAGAATAATAATAGTAATAGTAATAATACCAATACTAGAAATATGAATAAAAGTAAGAATAATACTACTAATAATAATACTACGAACTCCATCTCCTCGGTGTCCTCCTCGAGGAAGGCGGCCGAAGAGCTTGCGGCGGAGAAGATAGCAGATTTGAGTCTCGAGGAGGACTGAATTTTAGATTCGCCTATAGACTCTTACTAGTATTCTAGGGTTTAGAGTTTAGGGTTTAGGGTGTAGATGTTAGATCTAATATTGTAGTTTTTACATCCTGTTAAAATGCTATATATGTTATGTAGATCGTGTGAAATGCCATAGGTTTCCAAGAAGTTTTTTTCGCGTTTGCATTTTAGAGCAAATAGATTAGAGCGGTACTGGTCCATGGGAGTGAGGCCTTCTTTGGGTGGTTAAGCTTTGGGTCGGAATAATCAATAGTCTTCATTGGGGTTCCTGCTTGTAGTTATAGTATCATAGGGTATTTCATTCTTTTATAAGGGTACCGTACTAGATGTGGCATCCAAAACTGGAGCCTAATTTAGAGAACTATCCCTGTACCCTCAAAATTTCAACAGCCCCGCTCACAGTCTCTATACGTGAGGCCCCTGATGCAGCTGCGCTGGCACCATCTGAGAGTTCGGCTGCATAGGAGGACTTGAGAGGATTCTCGGATATTGTGGGGCATAGGGGAGTTTCCGAAAACAGGGGTACCTGATTTAGGGAGTCCTAACAATAAGGATCCTACTATGTAGGGTTCTATATTAGGGTCCCCTCTTTTGAGAAGCCCCGATATGGGTAGTTGTTAGAAATTGGCACTCTTATGAAAAGGACCCTAAACGGGACCCGATTCAGATAATCACCCATATGGGGGTTAGAGGATTTACGGCAGAATGGGGTTCAGGATTTACATGATTTAGGATTCGTCAGTGCCGATAATACCATGCCCAACCAAGGTTTTCATGCCTCTTAGCGGCCCCTGCACCGAAGTCAAGCAGAATCTCAAAGGGGAAAGGGAGGGACCCTTAATGGCTCTATAATCGGCTATAGAATGGGTATATACTACCTATATTAAGGGTATATGCCTAGGGGTCCTCATTAAGGGTCCCTCCTTTTACCCTTGGAGAATCAAGAGAACTCGTTACCCGGCGTTAGGGTGTTGGGCTTAGGGGTTCAGGGGCTGGGTTTGAAGTTTAAGGCATCGGAATCGCAAGAGGAGAAAACTTGGCGCAACCAGGCTCTGTTATCCTGCAAAGTGATTGTAATCAGGGTTACAACTATACGTATAGTTATGATGTAGCTATATTGAAGACGACATCTAACACTAACTCAGCCACCTAGAATCTAAGCCCCTAGACTCTAGACCCTAAATGCAGAACCTTGCTTCCTACATCTCATGATCCTCCGGGTCGGCTCTGCGCCCAAACGGGCGGAAGCCATCTGGCTCGCAAAGCGGGGATGAAAGCCTCGAAGCTGCATCGTCCGGGCTCTTTTTTAAGGAACCTATTCTAAAATGCCCGAATAGGAAGACCATGTTATCTATTCACTATGTCTTGTTGAAGAACTTATATTTCAGATACCATAATAAGGAAGCCATAGTATCTGATGCGGAGTCTTGTCACGGTAACTTAAAGTAAATCCCTGGAAAATAAGTCAGTGAGTGATCTGTTGGGGCAGAGGTAGGAGTTTAATTTAGGGGCCTTAGGTGATTCTGTAAGGGGTCTACACGCGCTGATTTAAGGGTTTAAATTGGGGCCTCAACAGTTGGAACAGGAATCGAAATATGTTATTCTACTCTATGGATTACACAGAATCATCATTAGTAGGTATTCAGACCCCTATGTTACCTGTTTGTTGTTTCGGAGAGGGTGGCTTCTGGCTTGTCGGAGCTTGGCATTGATTTCCTTTGGGGCCTAAATAATTCCCAATACCATTTCGTGGCTCTTCGTAATTGTAGTACAATGGGCCCCGAAACCCTATTCTAATTAGGCCCCCATATTGGGGCTTTTAGGGTTCAGAGTTTCCCTGAAAGAGACGGCAGCCCAACTTCATCCCTGTGCCCACTAAGCCGAGCTCTGTGAATAATCTGCTGGCGAAAAAGTGGGTGTCCCGGTTGGCTTTTGCTTCTCTGCGCTGTTTGAGGTTTCAGACGCATGTAAAGCGCGACTGAAGTGTTGAGTGCCAGTCGTGTCCCCACCTGAGCACAGCAAGCCTTGAGCCCGTGAATTCATGCCCACCACGATCGAATCCCAAATCGAGAACTCTGGAGCCGTTAACCTGACCGCCCTTGCACCGTGAAGCCCGAGTGTCGAGCCTAACAAGTCGCTGACGTCAATAATACGATCTGCTGGAAAGAACACCGTTTTAGACGCCAAAGCTGACCCTCTAAACGCCCCAAGGCCCCAAAGCCTCACGACTCAAACTTCTGGCTGGGGTTACTCGGGCTCTGAACTCTTTTTGAAGGAACTACCTGGACCCAGAACCCTAAACCATCAACCCTAAACCCTAAACCCCAAAGCCTCCCGGCCCAAACTTCGCTTTTCTGGTGCTTAGTAGGAATGGGGGAAAGGTTGGTCCCCAATAATTCGTAGTCCCCAAAACCGATTCCCCCATTCCCGACTAAGAGCCAGACAGCCTACTAAGAACCTAAACCCCTACAGTACAACCCTTATAGGAACCCTTAAAGGAGCCCTTAAAGCAACCCTTAAAGCAACCCTTAAAGGAACCCTTAAAGGAGCCTTTCTGCCAGGAGTTCGGTCTCTATGCCAGCTCCCAAGCCATGGGAGACCTAGCTGCCCTGGTCGTGCGAATGAGTGGGTGCCCGAGAATAATACGGTTGATGAGAGAAATCCTGCATTACCCATAATAAGGAATATACCATAATTCCCATAGTTTAGGGTCCTTAAGGTAATGCAGGATTTATATCATCAACCGTATGTAATGGGGTTCCTTTAAAGGGGTCCTTTAGTCCTTTAAGGGGTCCTATGAGGGTAGTACGGGTTTAATGTAGGGGCCATAACAATTACCAACACTATTTTGAGGGGGTTTCTTATTAGAATTTGGTATATCGGGCACCAAAACCCTATTCCAGTTATTAAGTTCACTATACTAAGGGATTTGATTTAGGTTGCCATGGTTGGGTAAAAATAGTCAATCGGGATCAGGAACTTAGTTTGAGTTACCATGATAAGGCTGCATTCATTCATTGATTCATTCATTCACACACCTCGTAGAAGCGTCTCGCGCTGCAGGCAAGAATCGAAAACATGCTGAAGGAATTAAAGGAAGGAGCCTTCAGAAGGAATGATAAGGCTTACGCTAGAGGAGTTCAGTGGCTGATGGTGGGCTCGGCTACATGGTGGTAGTAGTAGTAGTAGTAGTAGCAGGAGTAGTAGTAGTAGTAGTAGTAGTAGTAGTAGTAGTAGTAGTAGTAGTAGTAGTAGTAGTAGTAGGAGTAGCAATAGCAATGGCGCCTAGCACAGCTGCAGGCTTCAGGTTTGCGCATGTTGCAACCTTAAGCCCGCAAGTCATAGGCTCCACAGGTGTGGCACCGTGCCAGCAACTGCTGTTGGGATGAGTTTTTGTATGTTCATGAAGAATTTCATGTGTTGGAAGGGCTTCATGTAATGATCGCACGTAGTACACATTTGCATCGAGCTGTTTCTCCTTTAAACATTCCCAACTGAGGTTTTCAGCCGTACGCGCCAAGCACTGTTCAGTACGTGACAAAAAAAAGGACTGAGCCGTGAACTCCCAAGCCCCAAACTCTATAGACCCTGCAAACTCTGATCGAGCCCTGAATTGAAAACTCTAAACGCCTAAACCCCAAACTCTCTAAACCCTAAGCCCTAATCTCTTAATCTTAAGCCCCATAAATCCTAATCCTGGCCGCGGCCCCCCACCGCCGAACCCGTCAGTGTCCAATCCTGGACACCGGTTCTGGGCTCGGGCTTGAATCCAGCTGCTTCTACTGCTACTGCTACTACCAATCCTCCGGTTGATGATTTACATCCCGCATTCCTTAATGACCCTTAACTATAGAATTACGGTATAGTATACTCCTAATAATATGGATTTATATCATCAACCGTGCTAATGCACAACAATCACAACGACGACGACGACGACAGCCTGCCACGACTGCTGCTACTACGGCCACGACTACTTCTCCTTTACTTACCTTTGGTTAGTAGGGAATGGAAGAACGATAGTAATTGTAGTTATAATTATACCTCATTCCTCCATTCCCTACTAACCAAAGGTAAGTTTACCACTGCCCCCTTTTCCAGGTTTGACTACCTCGATGCCACCTCGCGGCCGCATCACCATCAAAGCTCCAAGTGCCAACCTTGGAAAAACGGAGTGGGTTTGAGTCAAGCGGGTCGGTGTTTGAGGCTACTCATTATCATTTCTTTGTATACTCTCTTGACGTAGATGTTTTGGTTTAGATTTTCCAAAGCCCTAAACGCTTCGAAGCCTTGACTCGACACGAAGCCTGAGCTCTAAAACCCAGCAGCTGCAAACTTTCAAGGCCTCTCGACACCTTGAATCATAAGGACCCTCAGGGGGATAGGGGGGAGGGGGGTGGGGGACTGTACTTCCTTAGATACCCTTATGATTGAAGCCTGGAAGTCTGGTAGACAAGCCCTGCAAGCGAATTTCAGAATGTGAGGGACCCAAATGTGGAGCATAAGCTGCAGCAGCACTATGAGATGTATTCCTGCCGACAAACTTGCATCATTCAGAAATGCCTCAAAAGCCGATGGGAGCATCTATACCAAAAGCCGCCTCTGGAATCCACCCCAAACTTGGCCCAGGATGCTCCCACAGTAGGAATTAGTTGGCTTTGCCTCGGCATTGGGTTATCGACCAAAATCGAAAAACACTCAACTGCAGGTGTCTATACCGTCTATACCGAAAGTCTAAATGAAGACCTAAACCCTAAGCCCTAAACCTGTAGTGGAGCTCAGGCGGTTATGCCTTTCCACTGGTGTGCATTGGCTTTTCCTCGAAGTCTGTCGAGGTGCAGGGGGCGTATGCCCTGAACCCTGTTCTGAACCCGAGGGCTTCAAGCCCAAAGCCCTGAAGCCCTAAAGCCGTAAGCCCCAATCCTCTAGTCAGGGTTACTCATCGAATGCCTGGTCCTGTTTGTTCTGCAGTAAACGTGAGAAAGACGACATTGTGCTTGCCTGTCCAACTGGGGGTTCCGCGTTTTGGGTTTACGTAGTATAGGGGCATCAATAGTTACCTATACTAGTTTTTGTTTTTTTTGGGTGGGTTCCTTACTATATTTTTAGTAAAATAGGGCCCCAAAACCCCAGTCGAATTATTCAGGCCCGAATAGCTGCATGTCCAGCCAGGTCGGCTATGCGCCTCTGCCCCCACGCACTGCCTGTCAGGCGCGAGTGGGCATGTAAGTTTCAGGTTCGGTCAGCACATATGGGAGTTTTCGACAATCGGGGGTACCTTACTTTGGGGGTCCTGATAATCAGGATTCCACTTCTATTCGGGTACTTACTAGATTAGGGTCCAATATTTTCGGAAGCTCCCATATGCAGGGCTTCGGGGGTAATTAGCAACAAGCGAAGCACCAGTTACTCAAATCGGCTTGCAAACCATCCAGGTCTCCTACAGGGTCGAGACTTCAGGCTGGTTCTTGTGACTATGTTGCTACTCCAAGGGTAAAAAGAGGGACCCTTAATAAGGACCCCTAGGTACATACCCTGAAAATGGCCATTGTATACCCATTATATAGCCCATTATAGGGTAGGGGTCCCCATCAAGGGTCCCTCCTTTCCCCCTTCTAAACCCTAAGCCCTATACCCTTATAGAATCCCTATAGATCCCTTTAAAGGGTCCCCACTAAGGGTCCCTCCTTCTCCCCTTGGAGCTACAGAAGGTCGTTAGGAGTTCGGCCAGGCCGGGCCCTTCTCTCGTTTGCTCTGTTTAGGGCTTAGTGGAGTCGTAATGGAGGGGCCGTAGTGATTACCTATACTATTTTGAGGGTTCCTTATCACAATTATAGTATAGTGGGCCCCAAAACCTATTCTAATCATTCAGGCACCAAAATAAGCCGACTTAGTGCCGTCAGGTTTTGCATCATCATCGCCACCCTGACTTAGTAATTGAAGAAGCTGGAAGCGTTTCGGCCCTGCGCAGCCGGTCTACCGTCTGGAGCTTTGTCTTGCCAGGTGCTTCGGATCAGAGCATCCTAAACCCCAAACACAAAGCTCGAACCCCAAAGCCAAACCCAAATCCCTCGTCCATTTTTTATGGGGCCTTCAGTGCATCCTTTGAAAGACTTGGCCCTAGGCGCCCTGAGCAAACCCTTACTAGGTTCCCTACCAGTACCCTTTTGCACTTGTACTTCCCTTATCCAGAATCAAGACTGAATACCAAAAACATCCTGGTACCCTTTATCATGAAGGGGCAACCGGGGAACCTCGACCCTAAGCCCTCAATTGGCTCATAAAGCCCTCAACCAGGAAGTCGCAGAGTCATAGACATTCGGCCAGGGGGGCGGAGATGTGAGCAGACGCCTCTTGCCCCTGCCCTGGGGGTGGAGGTTTGGAAGTTGAGGATTTAGTCGTTTAGGGTGTGAGGTTGAGGCTTAAGGGTTTAGGGGGTGGTAGGGTTTAGGGTTTAAAGTTTAGGGTTCTATTCTCTGTAGGACCTAGGCCCTGCACCACAAAGTCTATTCCCTAATCTCTAATCCGTGAATCTTCACATCTCGTCCCTAGACTATACACGTTTTAACCGTAAACTCTAATCCCCAGACACTAAACCTGACGCTACAATTGACCAGCTAGCTGGCAGCCGCTCACGGGCCACTTGCCGGACTGCTGTTTGTTGAAGACAAAGCACAGATCCGTACAAGCAACTATGGGTTAGATGCTTGGTTCTCCACCCTTTGGCCCATGGTACATCTGCGGAAGAGGTGAAAAACTGTGTCGTCAAACATCTTTCGAGGCCACGAACCGTGACGAACAGCAGCTCAAAGCTGGGAAGTCCTCCACCTTGAAAGCCCCCAAGCCCTGCGCGACAAACCCTAACACATGAACCTCAAAAGTCTCTTCCCTCGGCCCTGCACCCTAATCCCTCAGCCCTAAACCCTAAGCCCTGAACCCTACACCTCTTCAAGGCTTTTAAGATCATTGAAAACCCTTGCAAGACAACTCACCACCCCACCCCTAAAGTTTTGAGCCCCCCATCAAAAGAAAAGACAAGAAGAGACACCTCAAGGCCTTGAAGCACTCTCAAAATCATCCCTTCTGCCTTAAATTGAAACCCAAACCTGCAAAAACCCGAAACACACCCTAAACCCTCAACCTTAAAGCCAACAGCCTCTCAAAGTCGTAGCCACAGCCAACGCCCCAGCCCCAAACTCAGGATACGGAGTCAGGAAAAAGGAGCTCAACAAAAAGAACCACTTTGCAAATCTGAATTTTAAAGCGCTAGAAAGAGATGCTTTGCAAAACGCAGAACTCGTAGATGCCAACAATCAAAAAAAGACCTTAAACCCTGCGAAGACACCGTATAAAAGTCCTCAGCCCCTACGAATATTCCCTCTTCGACTCCGCCCGAGGCCCCACCGCGCGGTCAACTCCTCTTCGTCCCGGCGCCTGAGTCTCCTGGCCTCGGAAATGCAGGGGGGCCCAGAAACTCGAGAACCCTGAGTTAACTTTGTCATAGTTGGGTAACATTTGACATGTTTATGGGTACTTACACCCAACAAGGAATAGAAAGTCAAATTTTTAATCCTATCCCAACCATGATCCAGTTAAGGGATGAGCCTACCTAGACCCCCCAAAATACGTAAAAGATCATGGCCCAACACCCATGTAAGGTTGTTATTCTACACACTTTTGGGGTCCAGGTAGGCCCTAAACCACAAAGCCTCAAACCCCAAGCCCGGACCGAGGCTATTGGGTTTCTTGCTTTTGGGCTTCTACTAGAAAGGGCTTGATGTTGGAACATACCTCGTTGGAGATCCGGGGCGCCTAGACCCGATGCGATTTCTAGAATTATGCGGGTTTAGGGGGGATTTGGTATAGGGTTTTAGGGTTTGGGGTTTAAGGTTTAGTGTTATTGACCCCGAACCAGTGCTAACTTAACGATAGATGGCCCAATGAATAGACCTATCCTTCCTTACATTTCCTTGATCAAACCTTATGTTTATGCTGCAGAATACTCCGACACCCTATTCTCATCATTAAGGTTTTAGTTTTTTCCGGTTGTTTGTAGTTTAGGCCTTTTGAAATTTGTTGTTTTCACAAGAGGGGTGTTTCGTCTTCCAAAAGTTTAGCACAAGGGGGTTCAGAGGGTTTTGAGGGCTGTTGAGTTGGGGTGTTGGGCCTTACTTGGCTGCTGCTTTTGTTATTTTTTCGTTTAGTTGTTGCTTCTGCTGCTGCTGCAGCATCCACTGCTGCAGTTTGTTCATTTTCCTGCTGCCTTCCAGTCTGTGCTTCCAGTTTCGCCGTTGTCCAATTTGGTCTGTTCATTTCATATGAAGCCTGCTGTTGCGCTGGTCTTGCTAAAATACCAGTGCCAAGCTTCTCAACGTGTTTTTTGTTCTAAAGCAAGGCGAAATCTGGAGTACATAATCCTTATTATGAGTACACCATAACCTCAAACCTGATTTCCAGCTCTTCGTTTGGCTGTGAGACAACGGTGAATCTGGAACACATTATCAGTAGCATATCTATAGTCTACGGTCTCCCCAAAGCCTCATTTTGCTTACCACGGTCCCTACATCAGTTAGTGCCGCAGAACCCAAGGCCAACGAGCTCCAAACGCTAGGTGTAAACCCAAAACTCTCTCAACCCTAGCACCCGAAACTGCTGTTGAAGGCAGCTGACGTTGGGACCGGACGAGGCAGATAGGCGGACAACAGAATGCACGCTTTAGGGTAAAGCGGGCTCTGGCTTTATGACTGTAAACTTTAGGGTTCACGGTTCAGAAGGGTTGTGTTTTCAGTTTTGGATTTTATTTGGTTTAGGGTAAATTGAGGGTGTATAGGACTTGTGGGATCAGGGCGTTCATGGTGTAAGGGTTTCGGTTTCGGCTTATGTTAGGCGAAGCTTCTTAGGTACTGAGGAGTTATTTCGGGGCTGGTTGCCACAGTGGAGGGCTAAGACTCAAACAGCTAGGCTTACATAAGCCGCGAAGTTAAGCCGAGCTGCATGAAGAGGCTTTCAAAGTCACATGGGGTATCTTTTTACAATATCACGGTACAGGGTTTAGGGCTTTTTTCTAAGAGCAAGTACTGACTTTTCGAAATCAGGGGCCTGGTCAAACGGCCCTTCTCTCCCCCCAAAGCCTCTGCTACAGAGAGCACCGCCAACTAATCAGAGCCTCGAGCCTTAACCCTGAAGCCTAACCCAAAGGGTCCAATGTACCGATATAGTAGAATGTAGGGTTTCCATATTAGAAGTTACTATTATGACTTAGGGAAGTATCCCCCATAACAGTACATAGGACCCTTTGGGTAAACCCTAATGTCTTTCGTTATGCGTCCCAGGATCCTTGTTGCTCCAGTCACTTGAAACTTAAAACTGTGGGGAGGTTTAGGAATCGGGGGTCTTTGTTAGCTTCATCTTCAGAATCCGTATATGGCTCAGGGCTTACATAGGGCTTAGGGTATAGAATAAGTGAGGCCAACGCAAGTCTAAGCATCGATCCTTATAGTACAAGTCCTAAACCCTTTCATGGGAGAAGAGATTGTGCATGACATGTCGTTGCCTGGACCTTTCACATAGAACGATCGCCAGAGGCCGAACTTCTCGTTTTGAGCCGTCGCCTGAAAACTTCACTCAAAGCCTGAGCCGTAAGCAGCAAAACCCGACGCAGTCGATTACAGGCTGCTTGCGAACCGGCGCTATGCCTACTCTGTGGCCGTGCAAAACCCAGGTGGGCAGAATATGATATTATAGAGGCCTAAAAAATGATCATTGTTACTAGATAGTATATTCTTAAACGCTTCGCGTCGCCCGCCTCGGCCCGGCTGCACAGGTAGGTGCCGGATTGGTTGGGTGTTTTTGTCTAAGGGATGCTTGCGCGCACATGTCACTCTTCAAGTGCATGCAACGAACACACTGGTGTTAAGTGGCTTGTGTGCAGTCTCTGCTTGCATCACCTGCTGCACAAAAAATTTCGTGCTGGTTGTCTTGCTTGCCGTCGTTTTCTTTTTGTTGCTATTCTGCCGCCGCAATGGAAGCTCCATATTCAGTTGACAACCTTGGGATCGGCTTACCACGTCCACTGCGGACGCCTGTCGCCCGTGTTGCTCCTTCATTGAGTGTGTCTTCTCAGGTGGTTACCACGCTGGCCATCTCTCCTTTGTCTTTTGATTAGTGTGCCCTTTGGAGTGCAGCGAATCGCATCATGACAGCTTCGCGCGTGCATTCCTTGTCAGATGAGCGGTGCAGAACGCGAGGACTTAGAGCGCAGGCGCTTGGCCTTGGCTTTGGTTGGGCTGGTGCGTTCTATGGAGCAGAATAGCCTTGTGCTGCAAGAGCTGAAAAGCTCTTCCCCGGAGCATCTGCTCTTCCTCTTCCTGGATCTGGATCGAGCGCCCACTGCACTGAAACGCCATCTATCTGGCTGGCGTCGCTGGGCGGAGTTCTGCCGTTGTTCTGGCATGGCAAGCAAAGGCGTGGAAGGAAATGAGTCCCAGAGCTCTTGGGGATTGGGCTGCCGTCCCGGTGTGGACCTGGCAGATCCGAAGCACCAACACCCTGAAATCCAAAAATCCGAAGCACAAAAACCATAAAATCCAAAAACCCGACCCTAAAATCAAAAGATCCGAAGCACCAAGACCCTAAAATCAAAAAGGATCGGATTTCGCAGTCCCCGGACATCGAAGATGTTGCTGTGCAGAAGGTTAAAGCCGCGCGAAAGCGGTTTGAAAAGCTCAAGAAGTGATGCTTTCCTTTCTGCCTTCTTCTTTGTTTTTTTGCCTGTTCCTTCTCAGAACAGATTTGGGAACTAGAGCCAGGTTCAAGAAGTGACATGGGACGTCATTCAACTTTAGGGACAGAAGTCTGACAAACAAAAAGGCGACTCCTGAGCCTTAGAGCGGAAGCGGGCTTTTAAACACAACAAACATGGGCCCCCAGATGCCCGTAGAGGCCTATATATAGGCTTCCTAGGACTGTTCCACGACAGGGTTTCCTGTCGCGGTTCCTTTGAAGCCGAAGTGTGGTTCCTATTTGTTGTTTCTTTGTGCGGTTCGTGCCCCCCCCTCATGAGCTTACGTGGAGTCCTTGTAATAACGATCCGGCTATTTCGGGTACTATATTAGGGTCCCTATTTTCGGAAACCCCCGTATCAGCGGCTTTATGGGCTCAGGGCTTGGTTGCATCTGGAGGTCGGGTTAGATACCACTAAACTAGTATCCCATGGTTGTAGCAATCATGCAAACGTCCCTAGTTTAACCCCTATAAAACCTGAAATTTAAACCCTAAAACCTTAACTACCACGGCCCCTACGTCCGGGTTTCAGGGTTCACGGCTACGTACGTGTTGTTGATATTTAGGGCCTATGAGCAGGTTTAGGGCTTTAAGATGCTTTAGGGTTTAGGGCGTAGGGTTTTACGGATTTAGGGTTATCTTGGTTTTAGGATTGAGGGTTTAGGACTATCTTGGTTTTAGCGGTCGGGGCTATTTTGGTGTGAGGGTTTAGGGTTTAGGGATTGATTCAGGCTTCATGGGTTAGAGGTTCAGGGTTCAAAAAGTTTTATGCGTTCATGGGTTCGGGGCTTGGGCTTTCAGTATTTCGGATTCCCGGCCTTTTCTAGAGTCCAGGCTTAAAGGGTTAGGATTGGGTTTGGGGTTCAGATTTTGAGGTATGCGTGGGAGTGTGTGGATTTGGGCAGCGGCACATTGACGCAAGCAGTTACAGTGTTCATGAAATGCGTCGCTGCTGGAAAGTTCTTCTGCTTAGGCATCCGTTCAGGAGATTTTGTTCTCTTTGTCAGAATAGTATGGTGTGGGAAGGGAGCAGCATTGATTCGGTACTGCCAGGAACCGAATTCTCTCTCTCTCTCTCTCGCTCTCTCGCTTGCTCTCTCTCTCTCTCTCCTCTGTCTCTCTCTCGCTCTCTCTCTCTCGCGTTCCTCTGCCTCTCTCTGTCTGTTGCAAACGAGAGCTTTCTAAGAAGGTTGATTGTACCAGATTTTGAATATTTCAGCCTCACATCTTCTGTCGCGTTCTATTTGCAAACATTTCATGCTGCAGCATCTTATACATTACTTTGTTCTCGTGTGGCAACATACCTGAGCCCCGAACCGCGCAAATCCCGGACCCGTACGTTCTTTTCTGTCCTTTCAAAACGACAGAAAACTTGCTTCGTACGCTGTCAATACTAGATCTTATTCTTCTGCAACGCCCAAACTCTCCAAAATCCAGGCTTCAAAGTCTAAATGCATAAACCCTGAAGACTTCAACCCTCAACCCAAAACCTTTGAAATCCAATAATCGTCCTAAATCCCCTCTACATCCCCTTATAAATCCGTTTAAGGTCCCTAAACCCTGGCAGCCATGCCTCAAGGACGCGAGAGTCGACCCCTTGTCTTCATTTGGGAACTTCGCAGCGAGACCGAAGGCGCGCGGATGAGCTGTAACTGCCTTTATAGAAGACGCCTTAGGGTTTAGCCCCAAGGGTCCAAGTACCTAATAATCATATACTCTCCAAAATCCTAACCTACATAACTACTATCCTAAAACCGAGTAATGTGGCGGTCGGTTTAGTACTAGGGTACCCCCCCCCCCCGACCAAAAAGTTGCGGTCGGTTTAGTGCGGAACCGGTAGCCCCGGACAGGGGTCAGGGGTCTGAGTGGCAGGGAATTGGGAGGTGCCGGGGTTTGGGGGCTGGCTTGGGTGCAGGGTCTGCGGTTCTGCGCGACTGCGCCGTCGGGGGGCGGGGGGGTCTGGGCCAGCGCCTGAAACCCTAAACCCTGAACCCTAAACCCTAACGAATCCTAAACTCCTAAACCCTATAACAAACCCTAAACCCTAAGCCCTAAACCCTTCCAAAGGGGGGTCGGTCCAGATTCGACCCAAAACTGAATTTTTTATGCAAACTCTAGTACTGGAGAGGCCTCTTTTGAGCTAGGGTCCAATCCCCCCTTGAATAATCAAGGTATACTAGAATAGTACAGTAGTAGTACAGTAGTAGTATAATAATAGTGCAGTAGTACAATAGTAATACAACAGTAGTACAGTGGTAGTACAATAGTAGTACAGTAGTAGTACAATAATAGTACAGTAGTACAATAGTAGCACAATAGTAGTACAGTAGTAGTACAGTAGTAGTACGATTATAGTACCGTAGTACAATAATAGTACAGTAGTAGTACAGTAGTAGTACAATAATAGTGCAGTAGTACAATAGTAATACAACAGTAGTACAGTGGTAGTACAATAGTAGTACAGTAGTAGTACGATAATAGTACAGTAGTACAATAGTAGTACAGTAATAGTACAGTAGTAGTACAATAGTAGTACAGTAGTACACTAGTAGTACAGTAGTAGTACCACAGTAGTACAGTAGTACAGTAGTAATACAGTAATAGTACAGAAATAGTACCAATAAGCAAAGCATAAAGCCAGTGAGCACATTCCCCCAATAAGCAAAGCATAAAGCCAGCGCCTGAAACCCTAAACCCTGAACCCTAAACCTTAACAAACCCTAAACCCTAACGAATCCTAAACTCCTAAACCCTATAACAAACCCTAAACCCTAAGCCCTAAACCCTTCCAAAGGGGGGTCGGTCCAGATTGGACCCAAAACTGAATTTTTTATACAAACTTTAGTACTGGAGAGGCCTCTTTTGAGCTAGGGTCCAATCCCCGATTCGGCGGTTCACCCTAGCAGCCCCCCCCCAATAAGCAAGGCATACAGTAGCAGTACAATAGTACAATAGTAGTACAGTAGTAGTACAGACTCCCATTCCTGACGCCCCAATAAGAAAAAAACAATTCTGCAAGAGATTTTGGGGCTTCAGGGCCAGGGTTTTAGGGTTGGGTGGGGGTTTGGGTGGGGGTTTAGATCGTGGCTGCCTTAAGATTGACCATCAGCAAATAGCACAGCCCCGCCACCAAAAAATCCCCCCAGCCAAAAGAAAACGCATTAATTAGACCGCCCAAATTTTTGGTACCGGTCGGAATTAGCCCCCGAGCCGACGCATTAAAGGAGCCCATATTCCTAAACCGACCGGCACATTACCCAGTTATTGGGTCCTTTGGACCCTTGGGGTAGGGTTTAAGGTAAAATTAGTCTTGATGATTTATCTGAACCCAAAACCGTGAGCCCTGAGCCTGGAACAAGACCTTTTTCTCAAACGTACGGCCTAGGAGGCTTTGGTGATCCAGGGTGTAGGACTTGGGGCTTTGTATAGATTTCTGGGTTGTCATTTGGGATCTTTTTAAATTTTCCCCTACTATTTTAGTAGGGAACCATAGTAGTAAATAATTTTCAACGGGGTTAAAGGACAACTCAGATGTCATGGGGTTTATATTCTTTAGCGTCTAGGGTTTCGGGCTCACAGGATTTGTCGGCTCTTGGGTTTGTAGGGCTTAGGGTTGCAGTCGGCATCCCCTAAACCCTAAACCCCTAAACCCTAAACCCCTAAGCCCTAAACCGTCGGCATCCTGCGTGTGATGTTTTTCTTGTGTCACTCTCCTTTGGCCGTGTCTCGGCTCTCCAACTTGTCGGGGCAACCCTGAGCCGAGCTGCAAACTTTTCTATAGTCTCCTTATGAATATTTAGGAAGTATCATCTATTTTTGTTCATATACAAGCAAAGAGAATATTGAACATAGTATTTTGTATTATCGTTCTAAGGGGGCTATAGTTTTCAACAGTGTCTCAAGTCTGCATTATCTATCTCCAGCATCCCTCCTTCGTCGCAAGCCTCAGACCCCAAAACCCCAATCGCCTTTTCCCAATTTCTAAGCCACAAGCGCCAGGCGGCGATCTGCTCGACAGATCGCGCACAGCAGACAATGCTTCAGCAACAGGCGTGGTGATACACTCTACACCCCGAACTGCTAGTTTGTCGGGTGTCTTTAGAAATTTCCGGATACCATCTAAGGGGTCCTGATACTCCAATGCAAGATTAGCAACTGCTGAGCGCTGCATCCGTGTGACGACGATGTTACATGCAGAGTCTCGGCGTGCCGTATGATTGCAATAGTAGCCCCAAGGGTCCAAAGGACCCAATAACTGGGTACTCGGTTTTAGGATAGTAGTTATGTAGGTTAGGATTTTGGAGAGTATATGATTATTAGGTACTTGGACCCTTGGGGTAGCTGCTTCAAGACCAGCTTGTGATTTGCTCGTGTCCGCGCATCCAGGATCTGGCTATCAGTAGGTCTCTGACCTAACTTCTGCACTCTCGAACCCTAGGCCAAGAGGCGGCCCAGGACAATCTTTACATCCTGTGCTGAGTTACCCAGGTATCCAAGTAGCAAGGTTTTGTGTGCTGCCCAGACCATACTAGAGTAACCGATGGTAGCCTAATATAGGGGCCTCAATAATTAGACTAGGGTTCTGGGGCCCGTAATAAGTATAATAAGGAGCCCCGAGAGTAGTATTGCTAATGATTTGGGCCCCTATATTAGGGCGAACTGCCAGGCATCCTCGAGAAAGCGTGAGTCCCATTTTAATGGTTAGGGCATACACGTCAGATCGTATATCGAATCCTTGTGTTTTCCTTGTATCGTAGAACTGCAGTAGAACAGATCCCCAGAACCCAATTCTACTTATTCAATTGCTTTCCTGAAGATGCATTGGGGCCTCAACCCGAAACCCTAAACCCGAAGCCCTGAACGGTAAGCCGTAAGATTTCGAAAGGCTCTCCGCTGCTTCTGCCGGTTTTTGGCTTTCTCCGGGCGAGTGCCAACTTCGCATTCCAGGCTGGCTAGCTGGTAGCTGGTAATATACGGACTGTTGTCGTTAGTTCGACTAAGGTTTTTGGGTTAGCTATAAATACCCAGGGGCCCCAAAGTAGTTCCTTTTTGGGTGTGTCCTCTTTTTTGGTTAGGGACTCTAATATACTACCCAAAAAGGAACTACTTTGGGGCCCGTAAATAGGGCCCTAAATAGTAGGATCCTTATTATAAGGACCCCCAAATAAGGTGCCCCTATTTGGGAAACTCTCAAATAGGGGCTATAGGGAGATGTCATTGCTGATTTCTCGGACCCAGGGCTTTTGGGTTGGCGATTGAGTTTAGGGTATCTCCGACGGAGGGATCTTTAGCGGAGTTCATGTAAGTTTCGTCGACGGAAGCTCGCACCTGAGTGTCTTGCGCAGGTCTGAAGTCAGTTCTATAAGGGCTCTATAGTATATCTTTAAGGAATCTGCCGGGTTCATGAGGATTCTATAGGATTTCTGTACCCTTCGGGTCCCTACCCCGAAGCCTTATTCTGATTGCTTAGGCAATTTCTTGATAGTTGATGAATGAACTGCCGGACAGATGGGTCCAATCTCTGACTAACCATTGATATTGGGGGAGCTAAGGAGCCAGGGATGATGATAATCCCTACTAGATAAGGAGCTAAAGAGCCAAGGGAACCCCAAAATCACTGGTTAGATGATCTTAAGAGGTTTCGGGGTTTAGTTTTTTTTGTTTCGGTGCTTTCAGGCTTGAGGGCTTGACCTTAACCCTGAAGGACCTACATTTTTGACGGACTTATGTACGGAAATCATAATAAGGAACCCTAAAAAGGTAGGGTTAAGGTAGGGCTTTAGGGCCAGGGTTCGGCTACAGATGCATCGGCTGGCAAAGCTCGCACCCTTGGCTTGGGGTTGTGGGTTTCAGCGGCTGTAGGACTGTAGGTTTCCTGGATGGTCAGAGTGCAGTTCAGGGTTTTTAGATTTAGGGTTTATAGATTTAGGGTTTATCGATTTAGGGTTTATCGATTTAGGGTTTATCGATTTAGGGTTTATCGATTTAGGGTTTATCGATTTAGGGTTTATCGATTTAGGGTTTAGGGGTTTGGGGTTTGGGGTTTAGGGGTTTAGGGTTTAGGGATTCCTGGTCTGTCTAGTGCTTCTTGGGACCTTCGAAAGAAATCTCGATACTTGAAAGCCGTTTCATCCCAGAAGGCTTTAGCCCCGAAGCGTAGTTTCCTAAGCCCTCAGCCGTAGACCCACAACTGTAAACCCTTCACCCTCCAACAGGCACTGGTGAATGTCTGGAGCCCAAAGCCCTCGGCGCCGAATCCCAAACTAAACCTTGCCCCACTTTGGGCCGAACCAGCTGGACTTACCTTTGGAGCATTGGCTTTCAACCCTGAGGGCTGAAAGAACACGGTTTAGGGTTTAGGATTTAGGATTTAGGGTTTAGGGGTTTAGGGTTTAGGACTAACAGGACGCATTATGAAAGAGAGTCCACATGTCACGGTCCTGTCGCCATGTTTTTTTTGTTGCAGGCGCACTCGGTCCGCATCACTTTCCGCGTGCCCTGGCTGTTGACTTGACTTAAGAGTTCAGGTTTTGTCACGGCTACTACAATTTATGAGGGTTTAGGGTTTATTCGGGTTTTGGAGGGTTGATATTATCATATGTTGGACGGTTTCCGCCTTCCCAGCTTTAGGCTAAAAGCCGCAGGGAGGTCCATTTCGGGATCGTGCGGGGAATACCCCGACCCCGCAATGTAGTGCTTCTTTGGATTACTTTGGTATTTTTGCTGTTCTTGGTACGGTGTTGCGGCGGTTGCTTTTGTGGCTCGGCTTGCAGTGGCCTCACGTAGCTACCGGTCGTTTGTTACCGAATCTTCATACCTCCAACACTGAAACTGAAGCCCTAGACCCTGAATACTGAAAGCGTTGTTAGGATTTAGGGTTTTAGGGTGGTAGAGGTTTAGGGGTTCAGGTGTTAGGGGCTTGTAGGGCCTAATCGCTGTTGCCACTGCTTGCGATTCGCATGGCCAGGTGCTGACATCTGGCGAGGGTGGCGACAGCGACATTGCAGTGGGCTCAGCATTGCACGACAGAAGTTATGTTGATGACAGCTACACGTGCGGCTATGGTAATCGTAGCTGTAGCTATGGTTTTAGTCATTATGCTAGTTTCACTACAGTTGCAGCTATAATACTCGACTCATATCTTGGACTCATAGCTGTTGTCGAGCCGGAAATAGGTAACGTTTGATAACCATTTACAACGGGACCCAGATGACAGAAAGTTCTGCTACTTTTAGGGCTCCTGATTATCATTATACAGTATATATATATATATATATATATGTGTATATATATATATATATATATATATATATTTATATCAAATACACCCCCTCCCGAAAGAAACGTATTCTAATTATTAGGGTCCCAATATTATGTTCCTTGCAGTCTTGGAGAGTGTTGGAAATTAGCGATGTCTGAGTGAAGGCTCTTTTTTCTGCAGACCGGATTCTGGTGGAGACTTGCCTTGCCCTGTGGGGAAGGCCACAGTGCACTTTAAAGAAGAAGAATCCGAAACCTAAGTCCGAAACTCTGAACGTAGCCCTGATAGTAGCCGTTACAACCTCTGTCAGTAGAACTCCCCCTACAGCAGCTCCTACAGTATCCATCTACCCATAGGCTCTATAAGTATAGTAGTTCCTTTTGGGATCCATCTTGAGAATCCTAGGGTTTAGGGGTTTAGGGTTTAGGGAGCTATGGGTAGAAGCCCTTATAGGAGTAAGTCTACGCCTAGCCCGCGACGAAGGTCTCCTCGCTGAAGCGGTCGGGCCCTCGGTGAAAGCAGTTCCGCCCTCCAGGGTTTACCCAAAGGGTCCTAGGTACTGTTATGGGGGATACTTCCCCAAATCATAATAGTAATTCCCAATATAGAAACCCTACATTCTACTATACAGGTACTTTGGACCCTTTGGGGTTTAGGGTTTGAGGGTTGCGTTTTGGGGGTTGTGGGGGTTAGGGTTACTAGGGTCTGGAGGTTTGGGGTTCGGAGGTTTGGGGTTTAGGGTTTTTGAAGGGCGGAGGTTTTTAGGCTGTGCTCTTGTGCAGGCTTTCGGATCTAGGAGGTCAGGGTCGAGAGCTACGACCTTTTAGACTAGGGTTCGGGGTAGCATTGAGGCATTTATGTAGGCTACAGCTGGCCAGAAGGAAATATCATTGCTTGTAGATTGGGGCTAGGTTTCAGGATCCAAGTTGTGGGATTCAGGATTATGGGTTCCACTGGCTTGCATCTGCGTAAAGGCATGCCAGCCTTGCCTTAGCACCAGTCTGCATGCAGCAGTGCGTCAGATGCCGTGGTATGTGAACATCTCCGACATGAGGATGAGGATGACGATGCTGCTCGAATCGAGAAGGCTGTGTAGGTCGTCACGATGATAATGGCGGCATTTGCTGGTTATTCATGATGTTTTTGATGATGGTTCTGATGATGCAGTGACGATGATGATAATTGTGACGGTGAAGCCGTTTGTTTCTTGTGTGGGAATGTATGGTGGTGGCGGCAGCGGCCGCGGGGGCGACGATGCTGTTGCTGCTGCGGAAGCAGCTTCATAAATCTTGCAAGCATCACTGCTTTGGCGTGCTCGTAAACCACAGTCTCGCTCTGTTCGGATGACTCTTGGATGTGACGGAAAACAGAAGTTATCGCTGTGGGAGTCCACTTTGGCAGCCTGTCGTTCTATGCCCGCAGCCCATTTGCAGCATTCCTTGGGTCCCCTCTTGGCTGCAAGCTAGCATTCGCACCGTAGGGATTTTGTAGGGCTGTAGGCTGTTGTTTTTTTTTTCTGGGATTTTGATTTTGTAGGGCCTCGTATACAGCCTCGGCGCCATGGGTTGTGTCGAAAGTGCTGCCTGCCACATGCAGGAGTCGAGCTTGTGCCACATGCCGACAACCTTTGCGACGCCTCCTCCGGTGCTGCCACCAGACCAGCGAATGCACGAGCTCTACGTTTGCCAGCTGAATGCTTACCTCATGCTGGTGGCAAGGAATCCGCAGGCTTTCCAGGACAAGGAAGGGTTGCCAACATCCCCAGTCGAAGCCACAACTATGAACCTCCAACCCCCGGATAGGTTTCTTGGGGCATTGCATAGCCCGATCAGCTTGTTTGGGGTGGGCACCAATGCTCGTCTCTGAACCCTTTGCTACGGAAAATATGACCCAGACCTAAGCTGGGCATAGTTCTCAATGCCAGGGCCAACATCCTGAATGAAATGTGTGACCCCGAGACATGCCCCAGGTGGAGATGCGACGTGCTCGTTTGGGCACGTACCCCGGGAGAAAGCCGGCTTTGCTAAAGCAGCTTCACACCGCGGACGATGCTGAGTGGGTCACTGTCTTCCTGTAGCTGCGGGTCATCATGAGGGCAATGGAGTGCTCGTTTGACTGCCGCTAGGTACAGGGATTGGGCCAACGATGCACAGCAGAACGAAAGTTTGGCTTGGCTGCACTCAAACGGATTTCTTGGCTAAGGCCGAATTTGGGCGAAAATCGCTGGCGCTACTAATCTTTTCCTCAGAATGGCGCCACGTGCGCGCTTGACTTATATGCTTTCGTTCCTCTGACGTCCATGGCGAAGTCGGAGAAGACTGACTTCACGCATTTTTGCGCACTAAAGGTTTTCATTTCCTCTCTCTCTCTCTCTCTGTCTTGTGTCCTTCCCTTGCTCCCTCTCTTGCTCAATCCCTCGCTCCCTCTCAGTTCTTCAACGACGGTGAGTTTCACCTTCCATGCACAAATTGCATTGGCTCTTCACGAAGGAACTTCAGCAAATGGGCTCTGCCACGTTGCAGCATGCCTGGCATTCTGTTGCTTCTATTATCTCTAGGTTCCTGGGTAGTGCCCTTTTGCCCTTTTTGTCTTCGGGGCCCCTTTTGGAAAACCTTAAATACTAAGCCCCACACCCGAAATCCTAAACCCCTAACCCCTAAAACCCTAAACCCTAAACCCCTAAGCCTTAAACCCTAAACCCTATACCCCTAAACCCTGAATCTTAGGAGAAGGGGTAGCTTTATTGTAAAGGGACCACCCAGGAACCTAGATCCCCCTTGGCCCACTCGGTTGTCAGAGCAGCAGTCCGGAAAGGCCCTCAACATATGGGAGCTGGTCGTGCGAATGAGTGGGTGCCTCAAGTTCAATATATGTAATAGGGTTCCTTAAAGGGATCTATAAGGGTTCTATAAAGGGTTTAGGGTCTGAAGTTTCCGAAAATTGGGGGTACCTTATTTTGGGGGCCTTATGTTAAGGATCCTACTACTTAGGGTGCTACATTAGGGTCCCCCATTTTCGGAAACCCCATATGGACTTGTCCTGAACTCGGGGTGCCTTGAGTCTGGGCACTTGCTTTAGGATTTCAGGGTCCCAGGGTTTAGGGTTTAGGGATTTATTCGAATAATTAGGAATACCATGAAACTGTTGATGATACAAATCCTGCATTACCTTAAGGACCCTAAACTACGGGAATTATGGTAGATTCCTTATTACGGGTAATGCAGGATTCATATCATCAACCGAAGTACTCACCAGACTCATAGCGGCTCTGAGGAGAGAACCCACATCGTTGCCGGCTCTCAGGCAGATTGTTTTCCGAGATGAGTTCGAATTCGATGCACCGGAAGTGAAGTCGGAAAAAGCCTTTGCAGAAGATGCCTGCGAGTCGACAAGGTCCCGAGCTGTAACTACATGTATGTCTTCATCATATGTGTGCCTAGGGGTGTAGGACTTACAGAGTTAAGGGTGCAAGGGCTTGTAGGGTGTATATTGTTTGCCCTCACCTAGAGCCTGAACTCGAAACTACTGGACGCGAGATTGAGTCTGCACTGTACATAAAGTTCTGAGACCGCAGCAGATCTGAAGAGATAAGTTCGATTTCGGGTTTGGGGGGCTTGGGGTTTGGAGTTGGGGGTTTGGGGTTTAGGGTGTAAGTTGGGTTTAGGGTGAACGCCTGAAGGAAATGACGCGGGGCCCCATAGCAAACCGAGCACACCCGACTTTTGTGAAATACTTTATGAGACCCAGATGCTCGAATAGTACCGTAACTGCCAGATCCGAAAAGTGCCGGAAGACAAGACCATCGATGTTCGCCAGGGGCGGGCGGGGTGGGGTGGTGGAAATTTATGGAACTACCTATAGTCTCCATTGTAGTTCCTTTTTTTGGTTTAACCAATTATATAATTAGGATCCTTTAAGGTAACCCCAAAAAGGAACTACAACGGAACCTATATATATATATATATATATATATATATATATATATATATATAGTTGACGAAGCCTCCAGACCCTGAGCTGAATCTTTGTCTCGAACTTGCAGGTTGCGTCGGCAGTTTTAGGCCCAATATATCGGGAATGGGGTTTGGGGGTATGTTATACTATAATGGTAATAAGGAGCGCCCAAAACCCTGTTGTAATTATTAAGGCCCCTACAGTAAGCTCTAAACTCCTAAGCCCGCAAACGCCACAGGATCGACATTTTCGCACCCATCGGCAGCAACGACGACCCCAGCGAGCAGAACAGGTGCTGGCCTTCGCATTTTTGAAGGTATAGGGTTTAGGGTTTAAGGGTAAGGGCTGAGATTTTAAGGGTACAGGGTCTAGGGTTTATGGGGTCTTTGGGTTTGACTGGTAAAGTAGAGGGTTGTAGAATCCAGGGTTTGGGGAATGCTTGGAACATAGGAGTTGTTGTGTTGGGGAAAGTTGGTTCAGGACGCCCGCAGGGTCCTAGCGAGGTGCCAGCACGACATTCCATGAACCCTAAACCCTAACCCAGACCATCGGGGATGCCAGCATACACGCCGAACCTGTAGGATCCTGGTTATACGTTTCAGGACCCCTTCAGTAAAGATTCCGTGTACACGGAGATGCAGCGAAGTTGTAAGTCCTCGGTTGCCCCCCCACACTTTGGTCGGCAGCGCTGCAGCCGCTGAAGGCCCGCCCTTGTCTGATCAACCACCCGGGCTTCATGTAGGGGCCTAAATAAGTACCAACATTGTTTCCAGGGTTCCTTAGTCTAGTTATAGCAGTTTAATATGACTCAAAAGCTAATCCTAATTATTTCGGCCCCTTTACTATGGAATCCTTGTAGAGCCTTGATAGTAACCTTTGTAGGCCCCTGTAAAGGAACCCTATTCCAATTATTAAGGCCCCTCCCATTAAGGCTTAGGGAAGGCACTCGGCTGCCCCTGGTTTTCTTTGAATCCCAGGGTAAAAGGAGGGACCCTTAATACGGACCCCCAGGTATATACCCTTAATATAGCTATTATATACCCATTATATAGCCCATTATAGGGTAAGGGTCCCCATTAAGGGTCCCTCCTTTTCCCCTTTGATTGAATGCCTCGAGCTCATCGGGTCGGGGCTATAAGCTCGGTCTCACCGCAGGGCCACGTCGATGAGACCATGACGGTTCAGAGTTTAGGGTTTTAGGGTTTAGGGCTTTCGGTTTTCGGGCTTTTGGTTTTCAGTTTAGGCTTAGGGTTTGATGGTTTTATGTAGGGTTTAGGGTCGGCTTGTGACGAAGAGCCCACCGCCGATGAGGGCATTGCTTGGCCACCTTCGGATGAGGAATGCTACAAACCACAAACCCTGGCTGATTCTTCCAGCCACACACGTGTGCGCGTGTATCTTCGGTGCGGGAAGAAGGCGGCGTCTTCGCTGCTGGAATCTTCAGTAGAAAGTCCTTCGAATCGTGGCCACAAGCCTTGCTGGACCCTCTGAGTGTCTCAGATTCTGTGTTGTCGGGTGTAGGGCCCCTTTTAGGGTAGAGGGGGTTGTGGGCTGTGGGGCTTAGGGTTGAGAGGTTTTGGGGCTTAGGGGTTGGGGTACAGGGGTTTTTAGGCTTTAGGATTATTTGACAATCCTTTGGTCTGCAAGGGCCTTGACTTTTGGTTCCCTATTATCATCCTTGTAAGGTAGGGGGCTCATTAATGCAGGAATCAGGGTAAAGTTGTAGGGTCTTGTGTAAGTTTGGAGTTCGGGGCACCTTTGAGGGGTGGTGGCATTCCTTTTCGCCTCCAGCTTGGAGGGGCCCTGTTGCTGTTACTTTCAGGGTGCAGTTCTAGGAGTTATCGGGTTTGCAAGGCTTGGGATTCTTAACCCTAAACCCTAACTCCTCTCAAGTTCCTCGTGTAAGCGCAATCTGAGCAGTGCCGACTGCCTTTTGGAGTCAAAGGAGTGGTGCATTACACTTAACAAAAAACCTTAAACCCTAAACATAAATGCCAGCGCTTTTTCGGAGAAAGGGTGCAGTTCAACTTTAAAAAAAACATTTAGGGTTTGGGCTTTGGGGCTTTGCTTGTGGAGGTTCGCTTCCGGGTCTATTTATGACTCTCGAACCTGAAGTTCCATTTATCAGGACCGTTTAGGTTT